GCACTGGGCTGGGAAGCTGCCCATAGCCTCTGCAGAGCCGATTCGGTTCCCGGCCACCAAGCGAGGGTCCCACATGGCGTGCAGACCTCTCCTGCCAAGCCCGCTGCTCCCCTCAGCAGTGTACTTCATCAAGTCTGCCTGTTCTGCTCCCTGCTCTGGCTCTGGTGAATTTTCTCTCACCCTCCCGCGCTTCTGACTATACCCAGAGCTTGTATAAATAAATAAATAAATCTTAAATAAATAAATAAATCTTTTAAAAAAAAATGAAGAGCCAAGCAGTAACAAATGCATCATTTAGGTTAGTACATTATGTCCAATATAAAGTTGAATGAAAGCAAAAGACAGATTCAGAAACTCTATGTAACCAAACACAAATGAAAAACAAAAACTGGTAGTTTTTCATCTCATGCTAAGGTAGAAAAAAATATATTTTCCCCTCAAATCAGATGATTTTATGAGAAATGTTTATAAAAAACCTGAAATATCATAAACCAGCTGCTTAAAGTTTACTAAGTCCAAAATCATTTCATTTCAAAAAATTATTTATATGGATGTTCAAATTTTTTGTTAGTGCTTTTTCTCCAGTGCCCTCTAATGGACATAAAATGAAAAAGAAAAATGCACCCACAAATTATTCCAAACTCTTACACATACAATAAATTTGCTGAGATTAGATTTTGAATGTTGTCAACACATACAAAAGCAGAATGGTAACTATGAGTAGTGATGGGCAGTTAATTAATTTCATTGTGGTAATTGTTCACAATGTGCACATACATATATTAAAGCATATATTACATATATTACACACCTTAAGAAAATCATTGTAAAAAAAAATCACATTGTAGAACATGTACACACACACACACACAAAATTTTTGTCAATCATACCTCAGTAAACTTGGGGAAAAGGACAAATTTTTCCAGACTCATCAACCACAACAACAAAAAAAAAACCTGTAAATATCTTCACTTATTCTGGTGGAAAACCCTGAAATCTATCAATATCAGATATTTCATGCACTAAAATTTATCCTATTTTTAGAAATTTCACCACTGAGAATTATTCAGATTTTTAATTAAAAGCCATAAAATTATACATTCACTTTGACCTAGTATATCAATATGGGGGAAATATAACCTAAAAAAAATTAATACATTTTTTAAAAGTTAAAAAGGTCTCATATCAGGGCCTCCCCCGGTGACAGAGCGGTTGAGCTGGGCTATGAAGCTGCCCACAGCGTCTGCAGCACCGGTTCGATCCCTGGCCTCCGGCCAGGGTCCCAAATGGTGCGAAGACCACTCCTGTCGTGCCCGCTGCTCCCCTCAGCAGTGTATTTCATCAGTCTGCCTGTTCTGCTCCCTGCTCTAGCTCTGGTGAATTCTCTCCTCCTCCCACACTTCTGACTGTACCCAGTGCTTGTATAAATAAATAAATAAATCTTTAAAAAAAAAGGTCTTAAATCAGTGCTAATTTTAATAGAGGAAAACTTGAAACAAACTAAATGACCAACTCTAGAAAAATGTATAAGCAAATATAAAACATCCAAGCAAACTTACTTCTTATTTCAATGTCTGTTAATTTTAGAGATTATAAAGCATCTTCACACACATGTTCTCATCTGACCCACAGGTCTGTAAGGTTGTAGTCCATGCTTCTCAGATCAAGGGATTAAAGTTAGGGAAGGTTAAACTATGCCGATAGATGACCAGGCTATATATAGATTGACTGGCACAGGCCTGAATCTACACTCCACGCATTTGTCATTCTAAACAGCTCCAATGCCAGGGCTTCTAAAATATAAAAACTACTAAAATGACAAGAGACAACAGCCACACATGGAAGAATTAGGAAAAAAGTAACCAATTGCTACAAAAAAGAGACGGTAATTTTAAATTCAGAAAACCAGTTTGGATATTTAAATTTAGAGCTTTATACTCCATTAGTCTTTTCAAACCTAGATGAGTTCCAGGTCTATGTTTTATTGTTTATGATGATGACTTTAAAAAGTCTAGCCAGATGTCTAATAGACTGTGCCACATTCTGGATTTTTCTAATTGTTTCTCTACAGTTAATTACAGGTTAAACATTTTTCATGTAAAACTACATAAATGTATACATCCTGCTACACATCATGTCAGGAGGCACATGTGACTCAAGCTTTTAATATTAATTATTTGATTGTTTGGTACAGGTGGGAATCATCTAATAGCTCCATTTGCAAAGGGACATTTTTTCCCTTTTAATGAGTAAATAATTTGTGGGGCTTTTCCCCACTGACATTTATTTTTGGCATGTCTAAGTGGTTTGGTCACTAGGAAGCTATTTTGAGACTATCTGAGTATCTGAAGACATTGTACCCAATCCTCATTTAAATTAATTATTATAGTGAGAACTGCACACGGGTGATTTTCTAATTCAACCATGTCATTTATATTTATTATCTGAAAGCCTTCTGTGAAAACTTTCTACTATTCCTCCCCTTATTTGGCGTAAAATAATCCATTATGTTCATTATATAACATTGTTCATTTTTCATGCTCAAATTGTTCCAGACTTCTTTTCATTGGCATAAAATTGATACACAACAATATGATTTGCTCAGGTGTATCACCTACTTTGGTATTTGTGTATATACAGCAAAGTGATCACCACAAAAAGCCTACTTAATATCCATTGCACAGTCAAAAACAAATTTTCTTGTGATGAGAATTTTTACAATTCACTGTCTTGGCAACTTTGAAATATGCAATACAGTATAAGTACAGTCACCATGCTGTACATCATAAAATGTCCCAAATATGACCCATTGAAGACTCTTTCAAGTGGTTCTTATGTCCTTTTGAGATGTCTCCATCAGTCTTTAAAACCTACTTATTCAACAAGATTTAACAGGCTCATCTGCTATTCTGTCTCCCACCCCTGGAATCTGCCATTTCTTTTTATTTTTTAATCAAATATTATTTGTTTGCCATTTGTTTACAAAATTATATAATTTGGGGAGTGTAACTTCACACCTCAACATGTACAAATGCTTCACTTCACCTCCCAACAAAGCTCCAGCGCCAACACACTAATTACCTCTTCTGTCCCCTCTTTCCTTTCTCCTCCCCTCTGTCAACCACCATACTTTTCACAGAATCTGGAGTTATTTTTGTTGTTTTGCCAGTTTATTTTCTTGTTACTATTCCACAGATAACAGCATTACTCACAATAGCCACGACATGGAATCAACTTAAATCTCCATCAATAGACAACCAGATGAAAATTGAGAGAGATCAATGGAATACTACTCTGCTATTAAAAAAAGATGAAAGTGACTAGATCCTGAGGTAATTGTGATTACAATTATTTCTGAAATAAGTCAGAAAGTGGAAGGCAATTACAAGAATCAGCTATTTCTCCAAGGAGCCCTAGTTCCTTTTAGTGGGGACTGATATTTAGAAAAGTAAGATTAAGTACTTACTTTATTTGTTTCTACATCCATGACATAATAAAGAATATATCTGGCTTTTGTCCCCAGTTTCTGGCACAGAGCTTCAAAAAACCTTGGCATTTCCTAAGTGATAACAGAGTCTTTGTAATGCTTATGAGGTGACTCATGGTGAACCTCAAGGTGATTTGGGATGGGAGCTAGTCACCAGAAACACACAGTAAACCAGTGAGATCTCCACAGAGGGGAATGAGATTGAAGAATGAGTTCAATCACGTGGCCAATGATTTAATCAATTTTGCCTGCATAGTGAGTTCCAATAAAACTTCTGGTTGCTAAAGTTCAGCAAACCTTCCTAATTGTTAAACACAGATATGTAGGAAAAGCAACGGAGCCAAATTCAACAAAGAGAGGAGACAGAAACTCTGGTGTCTTTCCCACTACTGCATCCCCAGATTTTATCTTAAGCCACTTTCATCATATGTGAAACTACTACATATTCCAGGTCTATCATGGAGCTTTATTCTTATGCATTAATTTGTCTGTCTCATCAGGAGCCAGTACCACAGTTTTAATTATATAATAGATACCCTGTAGTGTGTTTCACATCTAGTAAGGCTCGTCTTTCTCATTATGTCAAGGTTTTTTCAAGTATTCTTGCATGTTTACCTTTCCCCATGAACCAACCAGTATAGATCCAGAAAACACACACAACACACACAGACCCCCTTACTGAAATTTTTAATGGGACTGCATCAAATTTCTGTATTACCTTAAAAGAATGAAACTTTACAATATACTGAGTCACCCTAATTTTTTCCATGTGTTCAACAGGTGTGAGGTCGTATCTCAATGTGGTTTTCATTTTCTTTTCTGGATGATTAATGATATTGAGTATCTTTTTTATGTACCTGTTGGATTCTTGATCTTTTATGTGACTGTTGTAAATTACAACTTATCATTGGTGTTTGTTTAAAAACAAAACAGCTATTGTCTTTTTACATTATTAAGTCCTGCTTTTTTACCAAATGTCTTCATTTGAGCTTGAATAATTTTATCATTGATTTCTTTTAATTTTTTCCATAGTTTTCTTTGTTTCTAACACTTAAGCACTAACATTTCCTAGATTTTGAGAGCCTGCACCACAGATCTCAGCACCTATAGACCAAATTGCCATGCCTAAGTCCTGATACCACTCAGTCTGCACACCAGAAAAGCAACTTTACATTCCACTAGAATCTCAACATTAATCAACCTTACCATATTAGTCTTCCCTGACATCTTTATTCACAGCACCGAATAAAGTCCTTCCAATGACCTACCTTTTTTCTTGATTCATACCCTAAAATCTTCTGCCTATTTACTTCAAGCTCATTTTCACAAGACTGAGAGGGAAGATATTCACAAAGCTTAGGTAAAAATAGCAAAATGTATAAAACTCTCTAGGTGGGAGGCAAAGAAATAAAAACTGTAATTAAAATTCAGATGAACTATAAACACCAATACAGAATGCTGATGTTAGCCAATTGCAGGATCCAAGTTCATTATTTCCCAAAATTACAGTACCTTTTCTTTCTTCACATGATTCATAATCTTGCCGAGGTCCTCAACATCAACAACAGAATTTAGACTCTGATGGTCATCAGTACCAGACTCTTCCTCACTGGTGCTCTCAAAGGGCTCCTCTTCCTGGAACATCAAAGCTTCAGAAACACATTGCTCAAAGTAGCAAATGCTCTAGTATTCCCACCCAAATTGTGAGTTCACTGGATGGATAGGAGAGATTTTGGGCTAGTAGTCAACAAACCGTCCCACAAGTATTCCCTGCCTTAGGCTAAATCTGAAAGCACTCATCAATTACACATTGTATATGGCTACTTTCTTTGTACAATGGCAGAACTAATAGTTGCAACAGAAATCATATAGATCACAAAGCTGAAAATATTTACTTGCTGGCCCTCTACAAAAAAGTTTCCTGACTCTGTTTTAAACAAAAAACCAACCACAATTAAATTAAATACAAGAATGAGGAAACAGAAGGAATCAAGCATTCTTGGGCTTCTTTAGGTCACTGAGATGCTACATTGACATATATTGATAAAAGCATTAATCCATCAAAAAGATGTAACAACTGTACGCATGTATACACTTAACATATAAAACACATAAAGCAAAAGTTGCCAGAACTGAAGGGAGATATTCAATTTCCAGTAACAAATAGAACAAGCAGTTAGAAGATCAGTGAAGAAAAACAGGACTGAGTCAACACTATAATCCAATCAGACCTAACATTCAGAACATTCTACCCCAAACTAGGAGATAATACATTTTTCTCAAATACACATGGGAACATTCTCCAGGCCACAAAACAAGTCTTAGTCAATTTAAAAAGATTAAAATCCTCTAAAGTACCTTCTCCAATCATTGTGAAACTCAATAGTATCTAAATGAATAAAATATCTAAGAAAAAATTTAATCAAGGTGGTGAAATACTTGTAAATGAAAAGGAATTGAAGATCACCTAAATAAATGGAAAGATCTCCCATGTTCAGGCACTGGGAAACTTAAAACTGATGAGATGACAATACCATTAATGTAATCCAGACTCAATACAATCCCTATCAAAACCCTAACGTTTTTTGCAAAAATGGAATTACAAGGAACCCCAAGGAGCCAAAAAAAAAGTTGGAGAGCCCACTTTTTCAAAGCTTAACTACAAAGCTACAGTGGAGAAAGGCTAGGGAGAAAGAGTATGAAACAGTCATCTTAGACAATGAGAAAGGAAACTTACAAGAGAATGTTAAAGAGATTATTGGGCAGTTTTGAGTGTATCCTTGAGCCTGTGGTCATAAGTATGAGGTCAAACAGCAAGCAGGTAGCACCAGAAAAGGCAGAAAGCAGGATTCACCTGGCTCAGGGTTTAGCCAATAGAGCTAGAGAAAGAAGGGGAACGTGATTAAGATGGCTATAAAAGAATGAGTATAGGTTAAATTGGGTAAGGACAAATGGAAGTAAGCAGTTTTCATTATCCAATGAAAAAGCTATGGGATCAGAAGAATTTAAAAGCCGGAACAACAGAAAGAAATCAACGTTCAGATCACAGCAGCATGAAATTTCAGAGATGACCACGGAAGAGAGAGACCAAGGGTGATGAAGAAAATGGTTGGTGGAGGTCTCAAGGTCAGAAAGCTGGCAGGCTCAATGCTAGAGAAATTATCTACCTGGATGATTTAGCCACAAAGAGCAATGACAGGAACAAGGGTATAGAGAAAGACAGTGAGTCAGATGTAAAGTTGTTGCTGAATGACACAAGTGACCAGGCGGCCATAAGACAACAAGCTGTGAAGACAGCAACTGTGATGTGGCTGATCACATAACCTTCAAAGGAAATGGAGTAACTGAAGGAAGAGAGAAATGTTTATAATGTGAGGGATGAAAGAAATGCATCTAGGATGATGGTTTGCAACTTCACATTTAAGTGATTAACAGAGCCATTAAATAAGAAAAGTCTGGAGGAATACATGATTTGTAGATTAAAAAAATAAAGCTCAGCCCAGGACACATTTTACTTCTCTGGGCCTCAATTCCCAACCTACAAACTGTGGTAAAAATCTGCTTAACTCTGGCAATGAAATGATTAAAGAAGAGACACAGGGACACATCCAGCACAACAAGGCTTAATTTCTAAGGGCAAACTCACTCTAAAATACCAGACCTTCCTTCTAACCAGAAGCCAATGAAATAGTTTCTCAAGGCAGAGGTAAAGTTCAGGGTCCCCAAACACAGGAGGAAGGCCTTGAGACATGGACCCACGGGACACACCTCAGTGTCTCTGTGATGTGGTCCTACTTGAGTGTGGGACCCTAGTTCCATTTCCTCTGAGCCATGATGATTAGATTCACATTTGCCTTTCTTGCACTTGCCGCCACAGGATTTTTTCTCTCCTTTACAAAGCACCTCTAGCCGGGCGATGAACTTGGTCTTCCAAGCACTGAAGTCAGCTTCAATGCTGCCATGTTTGCTTTTAATCACGTCACAGTCTCCCTCTCCTCGAGGCATCACTCGATGAGCTCCGAGCATCCAGAGCCACTTATCAACATTTTTGCCAACCTGCAAGAAAAACGATGCACTGAAAACACAATCCTCTAGATCAGAAGTTTGTAAACTGCTATGCAAAAGCCCAAAGTTGCTCTGGGTAACTTTGTCATAGGCTGCAGCTGAAAAGGCAGACTACTCAGCACAAAGGGCTTCAAGTCTTCCTTTTCCCACCTCAATCGACAAGAGCTGCAGTCCATACATTCTGGTAAGATTTGGCATAAAACTTTTGAAGCAAATGGACAACCAAACCCTTTCATTAAAGGGTTAATACAAGAAGGAATTTGAAAACTACTATTCTAAATCATGTTCAGAATAAAGTGACTCATTAACAAAATGAATTCGCTCCAAAATTTAACAAAGCCTATGGGGCTAAAACTCATTTAACGACAAAGTACAAATGGAGCCTATCTGGCAAGACTCATGATTCCATAAAATCAGAGGTTTATTTTATTGCAATAGAAAGCAGCTAAGCTGAGGCACAGCAGCTTCAAGAAGCACAATCAGGGCTTAAAAATCTAATTGACTTTCTGAGCACCATGGCATTAAACAAAACATTACATAACTGATTTTTACCATTTTCAGTCTAATGCCTTTGAAAATATGGAGGAGACATACATTTGATAGCAAACGAAAAGTCTAAAGAAATATCTCTATCTCACCTTTGTTCACAGTCTACCAAAGACAGGTGAGTCAGGCTGACCCAAACTGAGGAGAGTTCTACATACAAAAAGTTCTTTTTTAGAACTACTAAGAACTGAGAGGTCCCAAATTTTTATTTTTTAAAGTACAGAGAACAGAATGCAAAAGAAAAGGAGCCAAGTTAATTTTGTTTATAAAAACATCCAGGAAAACAATATTTTACTACATAAAGGGCAGTGAATGTTTTTCCTCTATTTTCCTTTAAAAATTACTGAGGGATGGGCCTTGCTGGTGGCACAGGTGGTTGAGCACAGTGCTGTGAAGCTGTCCACAGCCTCTGCTGTGCCAGTTCAATCCCCGCCAGCCATGAAGCAACCCAAATGGCACAGCAGACCTTTCCTGTCTCACCGCTGCTCCCCTCAGCAGTGTATTTCAGTCAGTCTGCCTGTTCTGTTCCCCATTCTGTCTGGTGAATCCTCTCACCCTCCCGCACATCTGGCCTATATCCCGGTTCTTGTATAAATAAATCTTAAAAAAAAAAAATTACTGAGGGCCTCCCTAGTGGCACAAGGGGTAAGCACAGCACTCTGAGGCTGTCCGCAGCCTCTGGCCTGTACCCCAGCTCTTATATGCATAAATAAATAAATCTTAAAAAAAAATTACTGATTAAAAGACAAGTTCAACTGTATTAAGAGTTAGCATGGGGGGCTCCCCTGGTGGTGCAGCGGTTGAGCGCTGGACTGTGAAGCTGCCTGTAGCCTCTGCAGCGCTGGTTCCATCCCTGGCCCCCGGGCGAGGGTCGCACACGGTGTGCAGACCTCTCCTGTCTCGCCCGCTGCTCCCCTCAGCAGTGTATTTTGTCAGTCTGCCTGTTCTGTTCCCCGCTCTGGCTCTGGTGAATTCTCTCACCCTCCCGCGCTTCTGACTGTAACCAGTGCTTGTATAAATAAATAAATAAATCTTTTAAAAAAAAAGAGTTAGCTTGGGTGTTGAAGACTGTTTAACAACAGAACAAGGAACTGACAAAGTCCAAGAATCTGTGATCTTCCATCCACCAGGTTCTACCTAGGGACAGGGGCTACAACATTAAGGCTGCTAAGACATTAACTGAGATATAGTAACTCACTTTCTTCAGTAAAAATATACTGAGAGCCTACTATATACCAGGATTGGGGATGTATGACGTAATCTCCACCTATAAAGACTAATATAAGAAATATTTAATTAAGTACCAAAGCTTGTATGTGTGTGAACTGTTCTGTAATCAAAGGGAACATCCCCATAACTCAACATATACCTACCTTGAACCTACCTTGTTGAAGTGGCTCACATAGGCAGAATTCCCCAGGCCAAACACTGCATATCTCATACCCTTCAGGTAAGTTTTGCCAAATCGAAAATCCTTGGCTGCATCCTCTAACCATCTGCAGAACCACTCCGCACTCTCAGTTGGCAGACCATCGGTATACGTAGCCACCAGGAAGGCACATACAGCTTTACTAGTAACCTAGCCATGAAAGTGAATATTTTAGTAGAACACTGGAGATGAAGAAAAAGCCTTTTTTTAAAATACTGACATTCATCTCATGCTAACTTCTCAGAACAACAGGTACTTTCAAAACGTCACTCATTTTCAGAAGTGAAAGAAAACACAGCAAGGACACGTTGCATGGGGGAGAAACCCCAGTGCCCTGCTCCCGACCCCTTTGCATTCACTCCATCTGGTTCTCAGATTGGAAATTCCTATTTCCTCCGGTATGTCATATTGGAAATAAACTCCGAATCAGTCAGGAAGAAATACAGGAAGATATCTTAAAAATTACCTGAAAAACTAAAGCAATAAAACTTAAAGTAACTTAGGACTAAGCACCATCTTCGCCTTGGGGAAATAAAATACATCATCAGGCCTGTTAGCCATAGTATTTCACCTGCTTGAATATGTGCAAGTCATGAGTTGAGTTATAATTAATCCCTTACTTTTTTTTTTAATTTATATAAGAACTGGGGTACAGGTCAGAGGCGCAGGAGGGTGAGAGAATTCACCAGAGACAGAGCAGGGAGCAGAACAGGCAGACGGACTGAAAATACTAGTGAGGGGAGCAGCGGGTGAGGCAGGAAAGGTCTGCTGCGCCATGTGGGTTTCTCCCTGGCTGGCCGGGAATTGAACCCACACTCCAGAGGCTGCGGACAGCTTCACAGCGCAGCGCTCAACCCGTTGAACCACCAGGGAGGCCCTCCCTTACTGATATTGTCAAAATTTACTAATAACTTTTCACAAATAATTTAGAACAAGCTCAGACTCACTCATGACACTCCAATGTGTTCTTGGGGGAGAAAGACATGGATAGTTATAGGTAGAAGTTTAGCTACTAAGAAGTGGCTGGCAAACTACAGCCCACAGACCAAATCCAAATGGAGTTTCATTAGAACACAGCTGAACTCTACCTTTCCATATCAGGTATGGCTGCTTATGCCTCGAGGCAGAATTGAGTAGCCACATGGTCCAGAAAGGTGAAAATATTTACGGGCTGGCCCTACTAGAAAAAATTTGTTGAGTCCCGTTCTAAGCACTTCTCCAACTTAAGCTGCTTCAGAATCCCCTTTTAAAGCACTGGTTGAAACACAGTTCCCTGTCCAGAGTTTGATTCACTGGGCATGGGTTACGCCTTGAGAATCTGCTTTTCTAACAAGATCTCCAGAAATGCTGATACTACTGGTTCAAGAACCACACCTGAAAACCACTGCTGTAAGACAAACTTCCCTAACTTAATGACTACAGGGGAGGAAGGGACATTTCTCAGGTGAATAAATTAAACACTCATAGACTTGATGCAATACACCAAGGTCACACAGCTTATAAGAGACTTTTCTGAGTCCAAAACCCATACTCTTTCTGGTACCCAAGTGGCTCTTGACCTCTCAATTGACTTACATTGGGCTCATGTGCATAGCACACAGCCATCGATAACCAGCCTCCCCTAATTATGAGAGTCAAAGCAAGAGGAGGGACTTTCCAATCACCCCAGGAGTATACCACACCAAAGGGACAAGCCCACACCACTTTGGAATCAGTGTCCCAAGGTCAGCCTCTCCGCTTCATAAAGAAAATTCAACCAAGTGAAATTCCTCAAGATAAAAATTAAATGTATTCTGAACATTTTATTTATCCCAGAGAAACAGGAATTCAATTAAATAGGAAGTGAATTAAATTTGAAGTTTTGATTGAAGATAATTACCAACCTCTTCTACTAGATGATCATCTGGATCATATTCTTTCAGATTAATAATTTTCACAGGTAGATCTAGGGAACTAACTTCCTTGGCAAGAATTGTTGCAAATCCCTAAAATCAAATAAAGAAAAAAAGAAAATCAATAAAATCTTCAATAAACCAGATAAAACAATCTTCATTCACCCCTGTTTGCAAGGGAACAGAGCATTTCTCATGAAAAACTTTTCTGGTGACTGAAGTTTATCATCATAAATACAAATACAATTTTCACTTTTAAAATTTTGACAAGCATGTTGATAGAGATTGATTTTCTCACTCTGTAAATTTATATATAGAACTAAATCTAAATTGGCTTTTTGATATTCCAGCTGCTTTTCTCCACTAGGATGAATACACAGATGTACAAAAAGAAATACTGAAGAGGGAAGAGAATGGGAAATATGAGAAATGTTAGCACTTTTCTGGAAGACAGAGAGCCAACAGGAGCAGGCTGACAGTCTGGAGAAAGCCCTGAGAGTCCATATTCCTAAAGAAGGCGAGAGAGGCTCTGGGTTCCAGGTCAGTCACTACAGTAGAAATGAGAGGTAACAGGGGTAGGGGTCAGACAAGTGTCAATAGTAGAAAAGTTATATATGGGACAAGGGCAAACAGAGCCTAGGTCAGGTACTACACCACTAGACCTTCTCCAAACAAAACAAACCAAATGTCTGGGGAGAGCTAAACTTCCGGGCAGATGTTGGCACCACAAGAAAACACCCTTCTTTTTTTGCGTAGGTAAGCCTGCCAAGCATCTATTCATTTACTAGGCCTCTACCATGCCAGTCTTAGCTCTGGGCAATATTACGCAGTGAGTTAGACAGAAGCCTAGCTCAAAAGGAATTTATATTCTTTTTTTTTTTTTTTGGTAGTTTAAGATTTATTTTATTAATACAAGAACCGGAGTACAGGCCAGATGTGCACAAGGGTGAGAGGATTCACCAGAGACAGAGCAGGGAACAGAATAGGCAGAATGACCGAAGTACACTGCTGAGGGGAGCAGCAGGCCAGTCAGGAGAGGTCTGGCCCACGGCCGACGGGGATCGAACCGGCACTGCAGAGGTTGCGGAGAGCTTCACAACACTGTGCTCAACCGCCTGTGCCACCAGGGAGGCCCAGGAATTTATATACTAATGAGGTTGTCTAAGTTTTCAAAGTCACTATGGTCGCTGAGTTGAGCACAGTCAAGTTAGGGGAGGGGCTGAGCAGTACTCCCAAAAGAGACCAACAGGGAAGTGATGGACTAATCCAGACAAAACAGAAGGGTGGCTGGGACCAGAGAGATAGCACTGAAGGTCATGAGAAACAACTGGAATCTAGATTTACTTTGAAAGGAGAACAGACAGGATTTGCTAGCAGACTGGATATGGTTTGTAAGAAAACGAGAGTGCAGGTTTGTTTTTTTTAACAAGGCAACTGGAAGAATGAACTCGCCAGTCATTGAAATAGTAAAGATTATATGTAGAATAGGTCTGGGCAGAAAATTTAGAGTTCAGTTTTGAGCATATTAATTGTGAGATAACTACTAGAAATACATATGAAAAGCTAAGACAAGCAAGTGGATATAAGAGACTGGAATTGAGAGAAATATTAACAGTTTAAATTAGATACATAAATTTAGAAGTTATCAGCTAATACATAAGTCATTAAACACACACCCTCAGACCAAATCCAGCTCTTTGTTTTCATACATAAAGGGTACAGGAACACAGCTACATTTATTTACATGTTGTCTATGATGATTGCTTCCACACTACATCAACAGAATTGAGTAACTGAACAAAGACTGTGGCTCACAAAACCTGAAATTCTAAAGTGTATATACATATATATATATACACACACACACACACACAAACACACACACATATATATATAAAGATTTCTAGACCTTTACCAAAAAAAGTTTGCCAAATTCTATCTAACATATCCAATTTAAAGCTCTAAATAATAAGATCCCTTAGAGAATAAAGTGAATGTAGATAAAGACAGGGCCTCAAGGACTGTCCCGGGAAGCTATCTTTAGAGGTCAAGACGATGAGATGAAATTGCAAATCAGAGTACCAAAAGCTAGCCTCAGTGAAGTAGGAGGATAATCTAGAGAAAAGTCTCCCAAAAGTTCAATAAAGTATTTTAAGAAGGAGTGGTCTAACATCACCCAAAGCAGTGATAGTGAAGAGAAAGATAAACAGCTGGGACTACATCAAATTAAAGAGCTTCTGCACAGCAAAAGAGACAATAACAAAAACAAAGAGAAACCCCACCAACTGGGAGAACATTTTTGCACCCAACACTAATGATAAAGGACTGATCACAAAAATCTGCAAAGAGCTGATGAGACTCAGCAACAACAAAGAAAATAATCCAGTCAAAAAATGGGCAGAAGAGCTAAAAAGAAACTTCTCTGAAGAGGAAATGCAAATGGCCAACAGACATATGAAAAAATGTTCAACATCACTTGTAATCAGGGAAATGCAAATCAAAACTACCATGAGATACCATCTCACACCAGTGAGAATGGCACATATTAAAAAAACTAGCAACAACAAATGTTGGCGAGGGTGTGGAGAAAAAGGAACTCTTCTGCACTGTTGGTGGGAGTGCAAACTGGTCCAACCACTATGGAGAGCTGTGTGGAGATTTCTGGACCTACTAAACATAGAGCTTCCATATGATCCAGCAATTCCACTCCTAGGTATTTACCCAAAGGACACAGAAACATCAATTCCAAAGAGCACCTGCACTCATATGTTTATAGCAGCACTGTTTACAATAGCTAAGCTTTGGAAACAACCCAAATGCCCAAAAATAGATGACTGGATCAAGAAGATGTGGTACATATATACCATGGAATATTACTCAGCATTCAAAAAAGATAAACACATGCAATTTGCAGCAACATGGATGGAACTGGAAGGGATCATGCTCAGCGAAATAAGCCAAAAAGAAAAAGAAAAATACCGGATGGTCTCACTCATAGCAGGAATCTAGAAAACTTAAATAAGGGACCAGGAAAATGAATATAAGAAAGGACACTTTTTGGGGGTGGGGGGCGGGAGGGAAGGATTGGGGTCAGAATGGGGCGTTTGCAATTGTATGGGGGAATATAAAAATAAAATTTAATATTTAAAAAAAAAAAAAAAGAAAGAAAAGGTAAAAAAAAAAAAAAAAAAAAAAAAAGGAGTGGTCTAGCAGCTAATAGATTAAGAAGAAGACAAAGGACTAATTAGCAACATGGAACTCACCAGAAGCACGATGGGGCATACAAGTGTAACTGAAGCGGTCAAGGAAAACAGGAGTAGAGAAACTGGAAATAGCAAATAATGATATTTCAGGGAGTTTTACTATTAAAAAAATTAGGGTTGTAGTTAAAGGGAAATGTTAAGCCAACAGGGTACAGGACATAGCCCTGCCCTCCCTGTGCAGAGCATTGAGTGAGAATCACAAGCCTGTTCATACAGTATCAGAGGAAATCCATACCCCATCGTGTCTGTTCTAAAAATGAATAGAAAACCATGGATCAACAAAAACAAGATAATAGCAACCAACAGAAAAGAAAAATAACAGCAGAGAAAAACTGAGAAAGCCAATAAATCAGAGGACAGAAAAAGGACTACACAAAGCTACACTCTGAAATTATGAACAAGACACTATAAAAGTTGAACAAAATGGCATTCTTGCAAGTAAAAATATAAAAGCCAAAACAAAACATTGAAAAAAAAAAAAGGTTTGAGTTGAAATCCAAGAACCCAGGATGAAAGGAAAAAATTACAAAAAGTATGACAGAAAAGATCTGAGACATAGACCATGCACAGGTTCAAGTCCAAATAACAGGGGTTGCAGAAAGAACAGAGAAAAAAAGAGGAAAAAATGTACCCAAGAGAGATTAGCAGAATTAATGCACACAAATCTTCAAAACAAAAGAGTCCAAGTGCCTAGCACAATGGCTGAAAAAAGATCCAAACTAGATACTATCTCACAAAGTTTCCAGACTAAAAAAGGATTCTAAAAGCGTCCAGAAACAATAACAAAAAAAATCAAGTCATCTACATAGGAAAAAGGAGACTAGCCTTCTTATCAGCAACAACACTGCTAAAAGACATTACAAAGCAAGGTGTAAGAAACATGGAGTAACTCGGGCTTTATTTCACCTCCTGCCACCAGCCTCTGTGGCCACTACCTGCAGCTTTGTTTTCCTCCCAAGCTGCAGTACCCATGTGATACTGTGTTATTGTAAGAAAGTGCTTAAGAGTGTGAGCACAGGGCACGTGCACCTTTAGATACAAACACCCAAGTCGAGAATCCAGGGGAGGTCCCAGGTACTGCTGCCTGCCTGCCTCCCTGCCTGCTGGTCTGCCTGTGTATCTGGCCCCTGCTTCAGCATTAAAGGCATGGAAGATAAACCTAAGGCTCCAAGATTCTTTTTCCATTTTCCCTAATCAACAGTGAACCTGCCCAGCTGGGGACAGTTATACACCACAAGGCCTTCAAAGTTGTAAGGGAAAAAAAAATACTTAACCTAGTCTTCTACACCCAGTCAAATATAAATGAAAAGCAGAATAGAGAAATTCAAATGGCAAGCTTTAAGGAGTGTGCTCTAACCCAAATCAACAACATTAAGCCATGAGATTTGAGGAATCTTTGTATTAACTAACAAAAGGAATTAATAACTTTTACGTACTGTTGATAAATCTAGAAACAGCAGAAGCACATTAAGGAAACTGACAATCAAAAGAACTGAAAACAGACATAATTCAGAGAGAGTCTCTGGAAAGTACTTTTCATTATGAACTTTATATACACTGGGATATGTTACCATGCAAATACTTGATCTTTTAAGAAATTTTAAAATACATATAAAGAGACTCTGAATGAGGCCTTTTATGAGAAACACAAAAGGACTTTATTTTACTCAGATTTCTTTTTTGTCTTTCTTCCAGTTTCTGCCTCTGTTACTTAAGATTAAACTTAATAAATAACCTGCAACTATGATGAGGAACAAACTGCACTGGAAAACACTAAAAAGTAGTATTCTATAAAACATCCACAAGAGGGCAGTAGAACTCTTTAGTACTATACAAAATAACCGACCTTGATTTTAATTTCATTTTCATGTTAGCATTAGAATTTTTTCCTAGAAAGCACTAAGTATCTGTGAACTTCGTAACACAGAAGCAGGCAGCATCTAGGCACACACACCAAAAAAAATAATGAAAAGCATCTTTCAGCAAGATACCTGCAGCATATTATTTACTTTAAACAGTAATACTTTCAACACTATTAGAAATCAAAATAGTCTTCATTAAATAGCTGTGTGAAGTTGTTAAACTCAGGGTCCATACTGGACACCACTGCTGTCATTCTCTCTTCACTGTTCTCTGTCCTTACATGTTGCAGGCACAGACTTCAATAACAGACTGTAAACTCTTCATTCTGCTGAGGCCAAGGAATAAGCTTCAGAACAAAGAATTCCCTCAAGATGGTGAGACCAACTGATCATCTGGAATTAGGCCTAAGAGATCAAAGTCCCCCACCATTCTAAAAAAGGAAAAGATGTATGATGGGAGGGGAAAAAAAGACAAAGGTAGATTAGAAGACCAAGCAATTCAGTTCACTATTAAAGGATGCTTTTTAGGGATTTCCTTAAAAGATAAAATCCAACGAAAAACATCACTTAAAGTTCTTCTTACCTTTGCTGTGCCAGTCTGGGAACCATAAAAAATATTCACTCCAGACACAAAGACATCCTTCTTTTGAAGAGAGATATAACCATTTGATGTCAAATTCTGAGTTGTTTTGGGGACACACTTCTTCTGTGAGCTCTTGTCCTTGAAGATAAGTGACTAGATAAAATCCATCAAGTTTGACTTGTCTAAACTTCAGTAGTATGAAAACTAGCACAGATACTGACCCATTTTTAATATTCTCAATCTTTCTAGTTATACTTCTCAAATATTAATTCCTTTGTACAATTAGATTTTTAGAGGTGGATCCAGATTTCTTAAAAGTACTTATGTTTATCCGTAACATGTTTTAGTGGAGTAACGTATAAATGTATTTTCTGACCCTTGTTAATTTAATGGAAAAAGAATACCATCCCTTAAAGATGCTAAACATTTTTTACAAAAGTTTAGTTTTCCATTTCAAAATCTTCCTGTGTCCTAAGAATGAGACATCCAGAGTACACCAAAGAAAAGCAAATAATCTGCAATAGTCTTTAAAAACTGAGCAGTTTCAGGCATTAAAAAAATGTCTAAAATCCAAACATGAAAATGATTTAAAGTTCCTTTTAGCCTTTCTGCATTTTTCTGAAAGCTTATGAAAGTTCATTCTCTGAGCTGTCTAAAAACATAGTCCCAAGTGGCGCAGCAGTTGAGCCCTGAGTTGCGAAGCTGCCCAAAGCCTCTGCAGCACCGGTTAGATCCCCGGCTGCTCCCTGGCCACCGGAGGAGGGTCCCGCATGGCGCACAGACCTCTCCTGCCGCCCGCTGCTCCCCTCAGCAGTGTACTTCAGTCCTGCTGCCTGCTCTGCTCCCCGCTCTGGCTCTGGTGAATTCTCTCACCCTCCCGCGCTTCTGACTATACCCAGTGCTTGTATAAATAAATAAATAAATCTTAAAAAAAAAAAAAAACAATAGTTTAGCACCTCCCAGGTGGTACAGGCAGTTGAACTGCACTGCGAAGCTGTTCGTAGCCTCTGCAGCGCAGGTTCGATCCCGGCCTGCCAGCGAGAATCCCACATGGTGAAGCAAAGCTTTCCTTTCTCCCCTCAGCAGTGTATTTTATCAGTCTGCCTATTCTGTTCCCCACTCTGTCTCTGGTGAATCCTCTCACCCTCCCGCACATCTGGCCTGTACCCTGGTTCTTATATAAATAAATAAATCTTTTAAAAAAAAGTCTAAATACTCTTCTATAAAAATTAACTCCACTTACCTGCTTCCTGATGACAATCTGAAAACAAATCCAAAGGCTAATTCCAAAGGCAAAGCCCAAATATATGTAAAACCTGTTTATCCATAATGATATTAAAGGTGAAGAAAAGTTCCATGTATCCAAAGAATCTAAATTGAAAAATCAGATATGTAATCTTGTTTAAAGCTGCTTATACAAAGATGCCCATCCCTATTTTAAGAATAAAAATAAGGGCCTCCCCGGTGGCGCAGTGGTTGAGCGCTGGGTTGCGAAGCTGCCCGCGGCCTCGGAGGCGCCAGTTCGATCCCCAGCTGCTCCCCGGCCACCGGAGGAGGGTCCCACATGGCGCGCAGACCTCTCCTGCCGCCCGCTGCTCCCCTCAGCAGTGTACTTTGGTCCTTCTGCCTGCTCTGCTCCCGGCTCTGGCTCTGGTGAATTCTCTCACCCTCCTGCACTTCTGACTGTACCCAGTGCATGTATAAACAAAAACAAACAAACAAATAAATAAATAAATAAAACATGCCTCTATTTAAAAAAAAAATAAAAATAAAAATAAAACCAACTTAACCCAGCTAATGAATCTGCCAAAAAAATCAAATCTAATAAAAATAATATACTATGTAACTTAATAAAATGATCATAATAGTAATACTAACTCAAAAAATTAAATATATGTATGTTAAATCGTTCTGCCTTCATTTGAAAAGAGCATTTGGGGAAGCAACAGAAAGAAATGTAAAGTCAAAAACACTTCATGTGAAATTATGAGTTAATTTTGCTTTGTTATGCTTGCTCCATAAGAAAATAATTTTAATACTTAAAATATTCCCTTTTATAGTTTTATTTTTAAAGACCCAAAGCTACAAGTAAAGGGTTTGCAAATAATTGACCTCCCGCCTCATTTTCTGAAGGAAAATTCAAAATGCAAAGTATAAAATTGGGGGTTTACAGGTCCTATTCCACCCTGAAAAAATTCCAAAAGTAATCGATACACGTGGGAAGGGTGGGGGGCACAGATTTTCTGTCTTTTACCTGAAGTTAGAAGTATAGTTTCCTTCTAAATTCACCCCTATCAACAAGGGGCCAAAAAAAAAAAAAAAAAAAGTGAAAAGTAGAGAACAGTCCTCCCTGGACCCCAGCGGCGCTGTCCCATGCTGACCAGTGCAACAATCTTTGAAGGGAAACCCAAAGAAACTAATCCAACGGGAAAGGCTGAGAAATACGGTTCCCTCCGTTTCCCGCCCCCCCCCCAAAACATGCCCGTTGGGGGCCCTTACCCATTCTCCTAAGATAGTGGGCCCTGCAGCCCAACAGAAGACCAGGACAGCCGACCTGAAAAACCTTGCGGCCGGCGCGGGATCCCGGAGACAGCCAGAACTACCTCTCAGTATTAGCTGTATACTGGGAACCCATGGAGCTGGAAGCAGCCATGCCACTCGCAAGCTGGTGGGATTGGTTCGAAAGGGAAGGGGCGGGTCCAGAGGGAGGGAGAGGAAGCGGAGTGCCCCCGGTGCTGCCCCGATTGGCTGAGGGGGGAAGGGGCGGGCTCAGAGGAAAACACCTCCCGGAGTTCCCAGAGAGAAAGCCCGAGCGCTCTGGGCCCTAATCCGATTGGCTCATAGGAGGGAAGGGGCTGGGGAAAGGGAAACACCGCCCTGCCCTGAACCCGGGTGAAGAAGCCCGAGCTCTTCCGAGCCTTTGCGAATTGGCGGGGGAGGAGGAGAAACTCTGGCCAAACCAGGGGAAAGTGGGGAGCGTGAGAAAGAATAAGGGGCGTCATCAACCACATGTAATCAGTGGAGCTGTTTGAAGCTTAAGTCAAACCTAGCCACCGTAAGCAGGTATTATTGAGGGGAAATTTGATTGTGACTATCATATGATTAATTAGGGAATTATGGTTATTGTTAGTTGTATCTGAGGAGTATAGGCATAAGTATTTACAGCTAACCCCGTAACGATTTGAGATATTCCAACCAAAAAGTAAAGGGGAATGAAACAAGGAAGGCAGATGTTGATAATTATTGAAGCGGAGTGAGGAAAGTATCTCCCTTACACTTTTCCCCCATGCTTTTTTTGGTTAAGATTTTTCCACCATAAAAGGTACTTGGGTGTAGCCAGGAACTACGAGTCCCCGTGTTTTCACCGAATCAGCAACCACCAGCTCCATCAGCCAATCAGAGCCCTTTGCTCTCGGCGCGAGTCAAATACGTCAAAGGAGAGCGCCTCTATATCCGACGCGGGACGATGTCGTCACGCCGCACTTGTCCGCGCAGGGCTGTCGCAATACGTGACGTCTGCGCAGTAAGTCAGCCCGGTGTATTGTGGCGCCTGGCGGGTGAACTCAGTGGCTGCGCCGCGCCCTCTGCTCCGCCGCGCGCCGCCGGGTCGTTAACAGCTAGGACAAGCGGCTCTGAGGCCGGCGGCGCGGCCCTGCAGTACTTCGCCCCAACCAGGATCTGAAAGCAGCGGCGATGTCGATCTTCACCCCCACCAACCAGATCCGCCTGACCAATGTGGCGGTGGTACGGATGAAACGCGGCGGGAAGCGCTTCGAAATCGCCTGCTACAAGAACAAGGTTGTCGGCTGGCGGAGCGGCGTGTAAGTGACCCTCTCCCTCCGGGCCCTGCCTGGAACTGATAGCCTCCACCTCCCCTGGTGATGGAATGAATGGGCAAACCTTGTCGGGAAAGGAAATGGAAAACTTAATGACTGCTGCGAGTGTGAGAAATCACTGCCCTTGCCGAGTTTAACGCCTAAACCCCGGGTTCCTTTTTTATCTAGTCTGGTCGGATTTTGCCTTGTTGGTGTCATAAACGCCGCAGCGAGAAACCCCCATAATTATGCTCCTTTTGCCAGAACGATACAAACTAAGGGTCTGGTCTTCCAAGTACTTCCGTAGTTATAGGTCATGTAATGTCAGATCTAAGCCTAGTAGTTTCACCCAAGTGCATTTCTTCACTAGCGCCATCTAGGGATCGGTGGCAGCAGCCTGTCTCCCCACCACCTCCACCCAGTGATTCATGCATACTCCCATGACGTGTTTCTCTAATGAGTAAATGCAAATACAAATGGAATTCTGAGTTTTGAAAATGTTCCCTCTGCACTGAGGGTTATTTAGGAGTATTTGCTGTTTTCTCTTATTTATGTCGTTGCCATTTTGTACTTAAATGTGAATTGATTTCCAAGTTACAAGTGTATTCACTTAAGACTTTCTCTCCTGCCCTCACAAGGGAAAAAGACCTTGACGAAGTTCTTCAGACCCACTCAGTGTTTGTAAATGTTTCTAAAGGCCAGGTTGCAAAGAAGGAAGATCTCATCAGTGCATTTGGAACAGATGACCAGACTGAAATCTGTAAGCAGGTGGGTTCAAAGACCTGCAGCATAATTGACGCTATATCCATTTGTAAAGTAATTATAAGATGTTAAACTCTAAAGTATTACTTTTTGGAGTGAGCAGTTAACATGCAGTAATTGGCTGCACATCATCACTTTTACTAATTGAGAACACGGATTTTTTTGTCATAGCTTCCAGAAATCCCATTTTCTACTAAACTGCTTATTTTGCCTTTTTATACTATACCTGAAAATAGAATAAGTATTTTATCCATTAGACATTTTGCTAAGATTGTCTTTTCCCTTTCACCACCCAGTCCTAAATAAGTGAGATTTTAAAGCACAAGATAATCTAGTGCATCCTTTAAGAAACTCAGCTCATTACTGACATATCCAATAACTGAGATGAAATTTAACTTCTCCCCAGTTAATAATTCCTACAATTAGTTAACAAATAGTGGGTAATAGAGGCATTGCTTTCTTAAATTTGTTGGTTTTCTTCAGATTTTGACTAAAGGAGAGGTTCAAGTATCTGATAAAGAACGGCACACACAGCTGGAGCAGATGTTTAGAGACATTGCAACAATTGTGGCCGATAAATGTGTGAACCCAGAAACAAAAAGACCATACACTGTTATCCTTATCGAGAGAGCCATGAAGGACATCCACTATTCAGTCAAAACCAACAGGAGTACCAAACAGCAGGTAGGTGGTTTTTAACATCATCAAAAAGCATCCATGAAAATTATTTTTCTCTGAAGAAAGCATTAATTTCTAATACTACTATCTGCAAGCAAGTGGATAGGAAGGTTTGGGGAGAGGAGCGGGAAGGAAGGGTTGTAGAGACCAGTAATGGAATTTTTTTTTTTTTAACTAAACACAAACATAGTAGAAGTCTCATCTTCCTTTCCAAAGCAAGCCTTTAAAGATAAACCTTGAATTTTAATGTCATTTTGATTCCTCATTTTGGGTTTTTTTAATTATACATAATTCATATACAAGCTAACCTTTTAAAGTGAATAACTCACATTCAGAAAGTTTGCTACATTCCCTACTACCTAATTTGAGAGCATTTTTGTCAACCCAAAAAAGAAATCCTATACCCGTTAGCAGTCACTCCTCATTCCCCACTCATATAAACCCTTGGTAACCACAAGTGTACTTCCTGTTTCTATTAACTTACCTATGCTGGACATTTCATGTAAGTGGAACCCTACAATATGTATTCTTTTCAAGGTTCATCCATGTTTTAGCATGTACCAGTACTTCATTCCTTTTTATGACTGATATAAATGGCCAATTATATGGAAAGGTAACATTTTATTTATTCATCAGTTGATGGACATTGTTGCCACTTTTTTTAACCTTTATGACTGATGCTGCTGTAGTATTTATTGCAAGTTTTCATGTTTTGGACATGTTTTCATTTCTCTGTACCCAGGAATGAAATTGCTAAATCATATAGTAACTCTACATTTAATCTTTCAGGGAGCCGCCAAGCCTTTTTTCCAAAACAGCTGAAGCATTTTACATTCTTGTAATCAGCGTACAAGGTTTCCAGTTCCTCTATATTGACAGTATTTGTTATTATCTACCTTTTTTTCATTATAGCCATTCTGGAGCTGTCCTGTTTTTGATTTGCATTTCTGTGTTGACTAATGTTTTGAGCATATTTTCATGTGTTAATTGACCTTTTCTCCATCTTTGGGGAAATCACGATTCAGATCCTTTGACCATTTTAAATTGTTTCTTCATTATTGAGTTGAAAGTTCTTTATGTATTCTAGATGATAGTGCCTTATCAAATGTATGAATCTCTCTCTATGGGTTGCCTTTTCATTTTTTTAATAGTTTTTGAAGCACAAGTTTTTAATCTTAAAGTCAAATTTATTTTTTTCTGTAGCTACTCATGCTTTTAATGTCATACCTAAGAAACCATTGCTAATCCAGCAAATGGAAACAGCTTGGTTTTGAATATCCTATGAAATAACGCAGCAGAAGATGCAAAGAAATTATAGACCCTTTAGGTGCACAGACCTCTCCTGCCGCCCGCTGCTCCCCTCAGCAGTGTACTTCGGTCCTTCTGCCTGTTCTGCTCCCCGCTCTGGCTCTGGTGAATTCTCTCACCCTCCCGCGCTTCTGACTGTACCCAGTGCTTGTATGTATGTATGTATGTATGTATGTATGTATGTATGTATGTATGTATAAATAAATGAATGAATGAATAAACAAATAAATAAATCTTTTAAAAAAAGAAAGAAATTATAGACACTTTAAATTTTGTTTTGATAGGCTTTAGAAGTGATAAAGCAGTTAAAGGAGAACATGAAAATAGAACGTGCTCACATGAGACTTCGGTTCATTCTTCCAATGAATGAAGGGAAAAAATTGAAAGAAAAGCTGAAGCCACTGATCAAGGTTATAGAAAGTGAAGACTACAACCAACAGTTAGAAATTGTAAGATTTCTTACAGTTGAATTATTTTGTCTTTGTGTTACTATAATAGTGTATTCTCTAGTTATAAACATTAAGAAGTGTGAACATTAAGAGAGTTCCAGAAACATGTTACCTAGAATTGGGTATAAGTGCCAAGATCCAAGTAGAAATGTAGGTAAGAACACTTAGAATTTTTTTTATTTGTTGTTTTTTAGTTAAATTTTTCATCTTCTAATTGTTGTGCATGTTCATTTTAAATGGGAGGATCTGTTTTACAGTGAATCATATCTTTGAGTCCTCACCCACATCTTCAGACATAGTGTAATTTTAGTTCTCTGCAAAGTTCTATCTTCAGACTTTTCAGCTTCTTTAGCAAATAAATGAGAGCTCTAGGGGATTGTTGAGCATTCCACTCCAGAGGTGAAATAACACATCTGATGCGCCTTAAAGTTGTAAAATCTTTTCAAGACTTTACACATGGTTTCTAAATAGACCTTAAGTTTTTTACCCTTCAGATGTGAATAAAAAGATAACTGCAAAATATAATGCTAAACATTATTTGAAAGTATTAAAGAACTTTTAGTATGAAAAGGACTTTAGTGTTCCAGTCCAACCTCTTCATTTTATAGGTGAGAATCTGACTAAGTCTTTAAACAGGGATATTAATGCCTTATCACATATGCTTAAAGTATTGTGTATCATAGAGAAAATTAAAGGTATTTTGTTCATCAGTGTGGTAAACAACTGTGTTAAATGTTTCAGGTGTGTCTGATTGACCCAGGCTGCTTCAGAGAAATAGATGAATTAATAAAAAAGGAGACAAAAGGCAAAGGTTCTTTGGAAGTGCTCAGTTTGAAAGATGTGGAAGAAGGAGATGAAAAACTTGAATGACATTGATCAGTCTCATCAGCTTTAAAACACTAAAGCATTTTCATTTCCACAATCCTCTTTTTTTCCATGGTCTGCCAAATATTTGCTCAAACTAACATTTTCCGTCTTTGTGTTAAAGGTAAAAAGGTGTTGTAAATAAGTATTATGATGTGGTAGTTTGGTTGTATTTATGAATTGGGGTTCTAGGCAAAAATGAAAAATTCAAGATATAAAGTCCAGAGGAGCATTTTGCTGCTGTCCTATGCCTTTGTAGCTTTCCATGGTGAAAGGTACCTCAGGCAACTCTTGTGTATAAAAAGTTAAGTTTGGTAGATCATATTAAGGTTAATTTGGGGAGGGGAGGACATGTCTGTGTGACAAAAGGGAGTATTTGCTGGAAAAGAAAACTATGTCTTATATCTACTTAATGAAAGTTGTTTATACAGTAACTATCGTGGCCTAATAATAGAAAGCTTGGATGAGGATGTCCTTATTATCTAAAAAATAGATATATAAATACTGGGCAGGACTTAGTAATTTTCATTGAATATGCTGCCATAACCTAGATTGTTCTCAATAAAAAAATAAAGTCATTTGTTTCTAATTCCCAAAATTTATAATATATATATTAATATAGCCGAAGTTATATGTAATCAATAAAACCACTCTTTATTTTTATTAAACTCTTACTTGTTTCTACACAGCTACCTTGTTCTCTTTCTTTCCTGTGCCTCTTGTTTGGTAGGGTTGGGGAGTTCTTAGCATGATGTACTAAGATTACAGGTCTTAGAACAGGACCTGTTGTGATAAACACCTGATTAACCTAGCTAATGTTATTTGGGATTTAACTGAATTTATTTTCATATTTAAACACTTAAATAGACTAAGCACAAGTTTTTAAAAATCCTAAAAAGATATATTCAAGAATGGTTTCACTCAAACATACACATTATTTTATGGACAGAAGATTTTAACTGAAACCAAGCATTCTTGAACAAATCCTGATTGGTTTTATAAGCACAAAGAACTCATTGCTAACACAAGGTCTCGGAAATGTTCCCTTTGAAAGTAACTTCAATTGAAATTACAAAGCCCAACTCTTTCCTCATAATATTAGAAGAAATATTCTTGCTTGAACAATGAAGTTTACATTTTTAGTTTATTTCCAACTTAACAGTTGAAGCAGTGTTCAGGTTGAAAGTCAGTTACTAAAAAGGCTCAACAGCTGCATGCTGAGGAGGAAAAGACAAGCAGTCAGTACAACATCAATTTCAATTTTCTGACCTTCATTTATGTCTTCTAAAAAGCTGGAACGTGAAGAAATATGATCACACCTGTAGCTTCTGAACCTACAAAAAACAAGGGTTTTGCCTTATATTAATCTCATTGCTCAAATGTAGTTAAAAATTTGATTCATGATAATCTTCCCATTACCCCTGCTATACTGGATTGTTCAAGGATTGCCCTTTTTAATTGCAAATTATTTTATATATTTGGTCAGAATGATACTTCAGAATTAACACTTCTATTAGCATAGCTCTTTTCTGTAACATTTACTTTGGATCCACATAAAATTATTTGCCCAGCCTGTGAAGCAGACCTTGCTTTGGCCCTCCCTTATGTTAACCCTTTGCACTCCACTGTCCCCTCTCAGGGGACATTGGTAGCCAATGTCCAGAATGGTTCGGAGTGCAAAGGGTTAAAGAGCCGGCCTACTAGACTGTGAGTTCCTTCAGGGCTGAAGACTAGCCACTTCTGTGTACCCCACAATGCTTCAGAACTAGTAGATGTGGAATAAATGTGTGCAGTAGTAAGCGTGCCATCTCAGTGAGGACCTGTGCCATCAGACATAAGAAAATATGATTAATGACATTTTCAAAATTGATGGTGTAACAGTCTGTCAGCTGAGTCAGATCTTCCCAACGTTTGTACTAAAGCCTGTGGGTGTCCCACTCTGTAATAGTTTCTGGTCTGCATAGATTCCCCTCCAGTTTCTCACAGTTGTCCTTGGGTGTCATACATTCTGTGGTCTGTGGTGGCAAGAAAATCAGTAGCACTTCTAAGCAATAACCACATGATTTTAACCTACTCTGTGCCTTCAACCTGACAGCATTAGTTACCTATGATTTTGGTACTAAGTTTCTTATCTCCTTTATGGTTTCACAATAGTTTAGAATATTTTTAAAAGGGACTTCTCATCACTGGACTTGGGATTCTGCTTTCAGGTAGAAATACTTAAAGGATGTTACAGTCACATAAATAGAATCATTAATGTTACCAAATCAAGCAAAAGCAGCTATAGATGGATCTTCAAATGTGGAGGGTATAACAAAATATTCAAGCAACTAACTTTGGGGATCCCTTCTAAGGCACCTTCCAAAGCAGTGGTAACCCAGTACAAAGAGACCAGTATGACTGCAATGTAAAAAGCTGAGAGTCTCTGGTATTAAGTGACCATGAACATAAAAAACAAATTACAAACATGAACCCCTAGTCTAGTCATAAAAGCAGTGAATGAACTACAGGCATTGATTTACCATAAAGATGCTTCTCATAAAGGCAATTCTACAGTGTTGTGTCAAAAGAGATTTATTCAATATTTACATTCATTCTCGCAAGCAAGCTGAGGAGGCCAGCGAGTCCTTAATGTTTATCTCCAAACTCCAAAATCATTATCAACAGTCTCAAAGTTGATGAGAATAGCATAAGAATGTTATACATAATATGTCACATGTATAGTCATGTAATACATCATATATATTGGTATTGACATTGTAAAGATCCTGTCTGATGGAGAGGTGGGGCAACTGAGATACAGACTTAAGTTATTAACAATCAACTACTTGTTTACAAAGACACTGATAAGGAGAATTGTAAAGGCAAAGACAGGAGGCCCCACATACATAAAAATTAATGTTCATCCTGATGATATGCCTCTGAAAAGTAGAAATACAGGCACCATATTTAGCCAATCTGACACACATATGGACTGCACACCCAAGGCCCTCACACCTCCTCCAGGTTTTAAAGGACTTTAACTGAGGAGTAACCTTCCCCTCTCCACAGATGGATGGATGCCAGGAACTCTTTGGACAGGCCTCATCCACTCCATGTCATCAGTCTCCAGCCTTGCCAAGAGGTTTATAACCTTCCCCCTTTTACTGTCAATCAAATTGTATGTCAATCAAATTGCTTTTGCAAGGTGGAGTTCCCTCCCCACCCCAATAAATTCCTATTTGGTTTGAATTGTAAGTGAACCCTCCCTGCTCCACTTGAAGTTAGCAGTATAGCAAGCAATCCAAACCTCAGATAACATACACTAGGGGTGGAGCAAAGGTATGGGGATCAATATCATCTAACAGAGCTGAAGATGAAAGAGGTAATACATGTCCTGGATTCAGGTGAGGACTAAGCTCTGTGCTGTTTTAGAAACAGGGCAGGCAGGTTTTCATCCCCATTTAGACTGATGTGGGTATGCTGTGACCGGAAGTGAGCCTTAGCTTGAGCTTAAGGCTCCTGGCTGATAAAATGAGCCAGTCCAAAGGGCCTATGTGAGGATCAGATGTGAGCAGGGACATGGATGTGTCCAGATTACTTCAGGAGGCCAGGTCTTGGTTCTAGTGATCACCACATTGTCTCCCAAGAGGAAAGGAGCTTAGTACGTGACATGATGATTCAGTGAATGACCACTTGAACCAGGCAGTTAACCCATTTTCTTGCAGGTTATGAAAAATCAAACTCCCTATTGCAGTTGGGTTTTAATACTGCCTGAAGCACTTTGATTAAATCTAAGCTGTTGGTTATATACTCATCTTGGAACTAAAGTTACTCTGGGATATTTTAGGGGTTTTGCAGATGGAAACTCCAGAAATACAGGGAGGGAGGAATTAAATTCAGAAAATCCATATAACATCAGTGAATTAAGAAACCATTACTGTCTACTACCCTAGTGAAGTATTATGTCTTTCCACAAATATGATATACTTTGCAGGACATATTAAGTTTGAGAACAAAACATCAGCTAACCCAAACAATAGTAGTTTAGCTACTTGTAAATGTCCTTTTCTTACAGCACAACAAAAGTCATTTTACAGTGTATGATGTGAATTAACAGGCACTTTTGGGTCAAAGTAATTTGATTCAGTTCCCTTTTGTTATTTTTATTGAGATAAGTGGTTTACAACACTGTATATAATTTAGAGGAATAGAGGCACACCTCCTTAGGTGTGCATCAGCCCGTATCACCCACCACCAAAGCACCCTTCTCTCTTTACCATAGACAACTGGGCCATCAACTCCCTTTTGTTGCAACCCCCAGAAGGATACTAGAAGTATTCTCAATTCTGCAAGATATTCCCTTCTTAAAGGGAAACTTTTATTTCTTATCGCGTATTTTCCTTTTTAAAAGAGAGGGCTTATCTCACTCTGTTTCTATATGGTCGGCTTGTGTTAATTCTGGCTAGAAATTATTACCAGGCAATATTACCTAGTCACTACCTGTTGACCTACAGCCTAGGACTCCACAGATAACTTGTTCTGATGGACAAGGGAGTGATGACATGGTACCTTTCAGTGATTTCAGTATCTGAAGATGGTATGTTTTCAAAAACCTTTGCTTTTCTAAGATTAGTCTTTCTTTAAAAAACTTTAAAATAATAAAAGCAGAGGTTTTTGTTCCTCAACTCAAAACAAGTCAATAGATTCACCAGATGCTATGTGTACAGTTGCAAGCAAGACACACCCTTTGCCCTCAAGGAACCCACAGGTAATAGATATATCCAAAAATACATCATGACATTGCAGCGATAGATACAGATTTGACTTTAAGATGCTCAAGTCAGTTGTACTCACTCTTAGCAATCAGAGATGCTTACATTTCTCTGTCGGAAGCATTTCCGTATTGCTCCATTCAAAAGGTTTATTTGAAGAAAATCACTGATGCTGTAAATGAGAACTCCCTTGACACCCACACCAAGTAAAGAGCTGTGTATTTTTATTTTGCTATGAAATAATAAATTATGGCAGATGTTAAAAATACAGTTTCTATTGAAAACATGGAAGCAGAGAAAAATAGCAGAAAGCTTTGATTTTACTTTCAGGCAAACAATAAAGATAGATCATATGTATGTATATACTGCTCCAACAAAGTATTGGAATGGGAAAGAGTTGGAGATATCATTGGAGTAAATGCTGGGGTTTCTAGAATCATCCCTCCAACCCTCTCCACCATCCCTCAGGAGTAGCATAACCAGAACAAAATAGGGTCTGAGGCACAGAGCCTGCTGGAGAGGGAGACCCGCCAAGTTACCTGGGATTGCCCAGCCCTGCTCTAGAGGGAGTGGCCGGCTGGAGCAACTGCACTGGCCCTCGTTCCTCCTACAGCACTAGAAGCAGGAAGGCACACCTCCTGCCCACTGCACATTATACTGAGGTGTGGGCCTGACAGTCAAAAATCAGGGAGGGAGAGGCATAGATGACAGGCTGGCACACAGCCTGTAGGAGCTGTGGGGTGACAGTTGCTCTAAGTGCCCAAGGTTGCCCATAAGATGAGGCAGCATTAACGTTACTGTCTGGGGTGACAGCGGGAAAGCCCTGGTTTTCAACAGGGTAATGCCTCCCCCTAGGGGACACTTTGGAAAATGAAGGATTTTTTTGTTATCACCTAAGAGAGGGCTGCAGACATCAGGCATAGGACAGTGTCAAATGCTGAGGGGGCCTTGCTGCCCCAGCCAGACAAGACACTGGCAAGCAGCTAAGAAAAGGGCCTCACACCGTGGGGCCAAAGCTCAAAGAGCCTCACATCATGGGGCTGAAGAAAAAGGGCTTCACACCGTGGGGCTGAAGACTTTTAAAGAGCTTCACACCATGGGGCTGAAGACTCCTTGTGCCTCACACTGTGGGGCTGAAGATTGAACATCCCTTTGTTTTTTGTTCTTGGTTATAATAAGAAAAGAACTTCTCAGTAAATACATTGGGCAATAAATTATATGTATAAGAATATTGTAAGTACATGGCACGGAGAATTACTTGCTTAAAAATTAAACACTGAATAATTTGGCCCACTTGACAATGGGAAATAATGATTGCGCAAGGGCATGCCTGATAAGCAACCCAGAGCTGGCCACAATATTCCTTATATGGAAGTTCCGTAAAGAAGCCTTCTAATGCTTCATAAAGTTGATTATGCTAGCAGTTTCTAGGTAGAAAAAAGTTCTGATAACTGATTACCGGGAAGCAACTGGTCTCTAGCTACAGGTCATATAGATAGAGGAGTCTCCTGACATTGTAGCCTTGGTGATAGGGATGTACCAAGGACTATTAGCTGTCCTAGGTAGTTGTTTAGGCTGAAATAATGAGTCTAAGTTTTAATTATCTATTAACTTCTTTTCTCAAAAACACGTAGGTGCCAAAATGTCTATGGGAAAGGAATGTACTGATTGTTTCTGTTTTGCTTCTATGCATGCGATGATGTAATCCCACTGCTTGCCTTAACGTATAATGAAAGACCCGCTGAGACCCTCAGGAGGAGATACTTGCACCAATATAAGAGTGTCTGTGTCTGCCTCACTCCCCTTCCCCTCAGCCCTCAAGTTTGGCCTAGGCCATCTCATCCTTTCAGGGACACCTGACCCGACATTTTGCTGGAGCTGGTCTTTGACAGTCAAGATCCATTACGCTTCACATGGCTCCCAGTGCCTTATCCAACATTCATGTAGAGATGAAAAATGTTTATGATCATCAGCATTTGGAATCTATATTACAAAGCATTTTTTATACATACACTATTTTTAGGACTGCAATTAAGTGGGGAAGAACGTGCTTTGTTTTGTTGGGAAACAATAAAATCACATCTCAGCAGAGCTGTCAAAGGAGTGTGAGTGGCTCATTTGATACCTCACCTGTCACTCCACGGTAGAGTTGTCCATTCACAGCTATCCTCTCATAGGAAAACTCATCTCCTCCCATCGTCACTACTTCCAGGAAGGGGGTGCCCATGGGGTTTGCTTTGTTGTTGAATACATTCGAGTTTATTAGAGGCCGTTTTCCTTTTATTTCTTCTGTGTCTTTTATTTTCTGTTTTAAATTACATGTTACTGTTTTCTCTTTCAGGACGGTAAGATTCAAACAAAGGGGATAGGACAGATAAGGCAGTGCTCAAGTTGCTAGAGAGCAAGGGGTTTCTGATGCCCAGGTGTGACCTCGATTCTGCTCCTCGGTGTTCTCCCCCCCTGGGGGGTTTGCAGGAAAGTAGTCAGGTGGGGCCTGGATGGGTATCCTGAACCAGCGGGATAGGGAAGGGGCAGGTAGCAAACCACCACAGTGCCCATCGCACTCGTCTAAGTGGGAAGAGATGGGAATGCCTGTACTAAGCAGCAGTGCACTTTGGGCAGGGGAGGTAGATGCCCAGCCTCTATCCAGGCAAGACACATGAGCCCACCACAGGGTCATGGACATAGGTGCGAGATCAACTGAAGGACAGTGGAATTGAGAATCAGCTGCCTTTGAGAACGGTTTTGTAGAGCCAGGCGTGATCTAGGTGCCAGGCTGGAGATGAAGGGATAGGGGAGTGACAAACTGTAGAAGGGAGGAAACATTTAAAGGCACAAGGGCTTTAACTAGTGTCTTCCCTTTCTCTTCCTTGTGCCTTATTTCTCCTTTAGATTAATGCCTTCTTCATCTTGAAAATGAAGGTGTAGTCAACATGATTTCAAAATATCAGGCTCCAAAGTTGTGAGATCTGGAAATATTGTAACTTGCTCCAAATGACAAAACTAATTGATAGCTAGAATCTTGAAGTTTATAGACTCAGAAATCTCTCAGCTATAAGGGTTCTCATAAATTATCTAGATCAGTGCTTTTGGTACTGGGGGCTGCCATCCATTAGTGGGTTGTGTAATGTAGTGAAAAGGCCAGTTTTTAAATAGAAGAGGCTATAATTTTAAAATATCAATGTCATGTAGCAAGGGCGATTATTATTTCATGACAATTATTTCAGTCATCGGTTTTCACATAATGAATAAGAATCTATGGCACAGGCAGCACCAATGCTAATGAATCAAGCTTGGGGAAGATTCTGTTTTGCTAGTTCTCATCTACCAAAAGGTAACAAGAAGTGACCAACTAGCCTCACTCTTCCAGCCTCACCACTTCACTGTAATAAACAATACTGAGTGTAAGACCCTGTCCTAAACACTTTGGATTAACCTACTAATCCTCACCACATTCAAGTGGATACTGTTACCCTTATTTTACAAGTAAGGAAAATGGAGCAGAGAGATTAAGTCACTTGAGTCAAGTTACTGAGGCTACGAAAGTTGGAGCAGGGAGGCCCACACCTGCCATGACCTGCTTCAGATATGACAACTTCCCTGCAAGACCAGGTGGTGTAGCACCTCTTTGCACAGCTTCTGGCATGCTACCCCTGGGGCCTCCTGACAGCAGCCTGGAAGAGTCAGGCTGGGGAGACAGGCACCTGCAGGACTCCCTTTCTCCACCTGGCAATGAGTCATGGGCCTCTGGAGCACAGCCCTCTACATGGAATAGCCAGGGCTTCCCACTGGTGTGTGTCTTGAAATTACACCTCTTCCAAGATGCCTTCTGTGACCACCCCAACTGTATGTATCACATCTGTCATTCTCTATCCTAGTAACTCTATGTCGTTATCATCGGCCATTGGATTCAACATATCTGTTTATGGACTGTCTCATTAACAAGGAAGAGCCAAAAGGACAAGTATTTTGTCTGCACTGCTGTACTTCTAGTACCTGAACAGTGATAGCTATTAAGAGGAACCCCAGAGGGCCTCCCCGGTGGCGCAGCGGTTGAGCGCTGGGTTGAGAAGCTGCCCGCAGCCTCTGTGGCGCCGGTTCGATCCCCGGCTGCTCCCCGCCCACCGGAGGAGGGTCCCACATGGTGTGCAGACCTCTCCTGCCGCCCGCTGCTCCCCTCAGCAGTGTACTTTGGTCCTTCTGCCTGCTCTGCTCCCCGCTCTGGCTCTGGTGAATTCTCTCACCCTCCCGCGCTTCTGACTGTACCCAGTGCATGTATAAACAAAAACAAACAAACAAACCAGCAAACAAATAAATAAAGCATGCCTCTATAAAAAAAAAAAAAAAAGAGGAACCCCAGAAATATTTGTTACTGAATGAGCAAGAGTTTGGAGCAAAGAAGCTGAATAATATCAAAAGCAAAACTAAATCCCCTCTTTGCCTTTGGACATAGCACAGTTTACTTGCCATTTACTCTTGCAATACTCAAACCACTCTAATTCACCCATAATCAAGAACTAGCAGGGTATAAGGAGTCCAGGGTTTTCAGAAGTGGGCAGACTTTCTTTGAGAGAGGAAATAAGTTCACAAGGATCTTACTAGACTTCACAGGGCCCCACTAGTCTACGCATTCATGTTGCTGCTTCTGTACTCCTAGTCTGTGAGTGAGGCGCCAGGAAAAAAAATTCAGTTTTAAAGTACCATCTCTAACTGGACTTGAGGACTTGGTATGTGTCAGATCTCACAGACTGTAGAGGAGGAGGATGTGAGTTGTTCTCCAAAGGTTTCTGTCCTGCCAGGCAGATGAAACACCATACACACAAATAAAAGAGCACAAGGAAAGAACAGTGAAGGGCACCAAGTATTGCGAGTACGTGCTGTTACAGAAATAAGGGGAGGTGAAGGAGGTAGAAGAGACTTTGAGGTGTCCCAGCCCTAGGTGCTGTTTCTGCCCCAGTGAGTGCTCACACACTGACCCTCTCTGGCCCTGCCACCTGCTAGAGGCCCTGCCCATCGGAAAATGGATGAATTTATGTCAGTGAACACAATGTTCTTTCACAAATAACTCTAGAGGATGCAGTGTCTTGGTTAAGGAAGTCTAGCTCTGTAAGAGGAGAAGGCCAAGCTGGCTTAGAGTCTGCTTCTGGTAACTCTCAGACCAAGTGCACACAAGGACTTATGTAACTGAGAAGGGTGTATTTCCACATCTATTCAGTACCAAGTAGGCTCCCTATTGTTCTGTATTCTTTCTCCTTTGAGGCAAGTTGAGGGTGCGGTCTGCAAGCACTTGTGGTCTAGTCCACCTAAAGATGTTTTGTACTGTCAGGAGACCTGTGTGCTTGGTGAGGCCAGCTTACTAGGAAACACTGCCCACCCCTCATCCTGATGATAGCTGACACTGCAAAAGAGCAGCTTGCATAAACCCTCAACTGCTTATCACATATTTCTTCCCTTAAAAAACAGTCATCAGACGGGAGGAAATTGAGACAGAGAAATAAATTCAGATGTTTTATTCCATAAAGCACAAATGCACATATTTCAAACACGGAAAATTAACCTGGGCGTGAATTCCGTAACAGATCAGCTACTGACCATCATGCAGCAAGATAAGTGAAATGGATCCGCTGGCCCTCATAAACCCACAGTGCCTGCAGGAGGGTTGAAAAACTAGGATGCTGAATCCCTACACAGAGCCAAAGAAAATGCAACAAAAATGGCAGGTTCCTAACGATGAGAAAAACTTACAAATAGAATCAAAACTGATTCAAGTCATACAGTGAAAGGACAAAAGGAAAAAGGAAAGAGATCAATATGATCTGAAACAACCATTTTAATAATAAGTTGCTGACCTTTATTGGACCTCCAGTCCAAGATGCCTGAGGACAAGTCAGTGCTCCTTGTGCAGGGTCACCCCTGAATGGCAAAAGGCCCTCTTTGTGACACTCTTCTTATCCTGACGTCCCCCAGCCAGATATAGCGGAGTCTCAGGCCTTGGCCACAGATGCCTGGGTAGTAACATAACAGGTCCTCTGGACTTCCTGATGTCTCTTCAGTTACTAGACCTCTTCACCCAGGGCCTGTGACTTCTCTGCTTCTCCAGCCTTCCTTAGACACCGGCTTGACTAGGTTTCAATGAGATCTCTGAGAATTACCTTCTAGGGTATATGCTGAATTTTAATGTGTATGTCCTGGCCTCATGACAAGTCAGTATTGTCCAGGCATTTTTGGCACTTCCTTTCCTCATGCCTAACAGTGTCCTTCCTCCCCTGGCTACAGATTCCAGCCATTCCCTGTAATTCAAACAAGGGCAATTAATATTAGAAACAAGCTGGATTGCACAAACCATTGAAACACTTTTTCCACCTGTCTTTCTTCTTCTATCTTCCTCTGCCAGTTATGTCTATCCCTATATCTATACTTCATTGGGATATTATTAAATCAGTAGCAGCTTTACCTACAATCTGTTGGTCTTCATGTTGATGTTTCTAAAGGCCAAGTCAACTGGCTTTCTCAATCTTATAAGAATCTTAAAGTCTCTAAAGAGAAAACTCAATTAACAGGTTAGCCATGCATCAAAAAACTGGATAGACAAGTATAATTACTGTGCTTGAAATGTACTAAAAGGAATACTAACATATCAATTTACCATATGATTATTTCAACAACCTTCAGCAAAAGCCCACAAATATTTTTCATTCAAGAATGCCTGGGATAAAATGTTCTAGGCCAATATATTTCAGATGGCAAGACTGATTCTAATTTTGGAGCCTACAGTTACGGGAACGAAGTGCTGACGGTCATGTCCACGGTTTTACTTGCCCTTGTGCTATTAACATTGCTGGGGAGAACACAGAAGTCACCAATGACTTACTGAGGCAAAAAACTATTAATAAAAACAGTAAAGAAACAATGATTGGGAAAGATAATGTGCAATTTTTTTCAAAAGATCAAAGAAAAAGGGGCTAAATGAACTAAATGACCAAATTGGTGTATGAAAGAAAAATGCTTTTGGTTTTCCTGATAAATAGCAAATCAAAATTGCTTTCCTTCAAATTTCACAGGCATAGCTTTCATAATGCTACTGATCTACTAGCTGCCATTTTCCTTCTGAAAATGTTAATTGCATAAAAATAAATGCAAAAAAAGAAAATTCATTCCCTCTTCAAATAAACAAGTAACCCTTTCATAACAAACCAAATCAGCTCTCACTTTCCATCTGCATTCCAGAACACAAATTGGCCAGTTTTTACTCCAAAGCCATTTTAAGTGTAAGCCCTTTTGAGTGAGGAAGCTACTTTAATTTCTATAAGGGAAGGACGGGACAACAGAGGAGAAAAAGACAGTGGGATATTCTGTGCCAAGTCAAACAAGTCCAGGTTCCTCACCAACCACGTGGAAAATGAAACTTAGATCTTTACCATGTAGGTGACTTTTAAATACTTAACTTTTTACTCAAGATGAAAGCACAAGTCTGTCCTAACTAGAGTAGTGTTAAAAATGTGTCTATTTTTTCTTCAAAGAAAAAAGAAAAAAAACTTAGATAGGTATGTTTCCTTGCAAGCAAAACAGAAAAAGTTATTACTGTTGTTTACTATGATTATTGAGCCACAGACACATAAAATCCACAAAATGGATTGGTGGCTTTGAAAATGCAGTATCATATCAAAGGTGCAGACTGTTTTGAACATTCTGTACATATCGGGCTGAAACAAGAACCAAAGCAAACCTCAACCCCACCAGCAATGAAACGCTCCTAGAAAGGCAACAGGGCCTGCTCCGCCAGAGCACGATCACCTCTCTGGCACTCTGCAGAATCATCTCCCCAAGTGCACGGGTGAGGATGAGGGTTCTGGCTGCACCCAGTGCAAAGCACGTGCATCATTGGACAAATTTCTGAATAGATTTTTATAAATATATACAAATCAGTTACAGGCACTTGAAATGTCTTTGGCTGGAATAACCCAACATTGCAAGATAATGTATTCACAGAGTGTCCAGGCCCAGGCTGGGTTCAGCAGGCAATGATTATGGTTCTCTCACTCCCTCGCAGGAAACAGGCAGTTGTGCGATTAGGCATCAGCCAAAGCCACCTAAAAGAGAAGAAGATAGGCGTGCACTCACACAGCAGAGTGAGGTTCCGCAGCCCCACCAGCGCCCCTCCCCTTCCTGGGCTCCCTACCCAGAGACCAGGGAGCCCATCACATGCATCTATCATGCAGGGAAGCTACTAAATCCTTCACAAAAAAGTCTCATCTAGGAGGGAAAAAACAAAAATCTAAGAGTCTCCTGCTGATCTAGGAGGAACTGTGCTGAGAGACAGAGTTAATTGTTCTCAAACACTCCTCAGCATTACTGTGAGGTGCTTTCTCAAGCTGACAGAAGTGAAGGGGAAGCAACCGCTTCAGGGTCAGTTGCTCTCCGATGGAGACATGAGAACAAATCATGGTCAGTACCTTTTACCAGTGAAACCCCGACTACATGGATGAAAAGCCAACACTGTAATTTAGGCTGAGAGTAGACAACTTCTGACAAAAAGAATTAATGTTTGTAGAGGAAAGGTAACACTCAATAAATGGAGTAAGGACTCAGTGGGATTTTCTGTATATAGAGACCTCTAGCAAAATGCTGGGCCACACCCCATCCACACTCACCTTTTCAGGACAAAATTCGGGATTGCTCTGACGCAATTTGCTGGGTCTGCCTTTGATAACAGCATAGCAAAACATTGTTATCACCATCACGAAAAGGAAGTAACTGGTGTGCATGAGATGCAAATTTATTAATGAACGGTCATCCTAAATAAAGAGAATAAACCAGAAACATCTGCACTGAGTAACTGAATGATTTTAATGCTGAATTTCTGGAAATGAGTTCACACCCTCCAAACTTTATTGAACTTTAATTCTTAAAATGGAATAGGACATTTTCCCTTTTGTCTTCTACGTATTACATCTAGCTCTCATTAAGTGAAGACATGATCTTCCTAAAGCAGTCTTCTGCCCTAGCTTCTGCACCGCATCCCACTGCCCGGACCCTCTCCTCCTGCGCAGGTCTCTTCCTGAGAAGGCCCCAGAGACCCAGTCTTTAACCCTTCTGCCCCCTTTCCCTGATTGCCCTCAAGCTTCATGGCTGGCAGCCTCAACTCTGATACTAATTCCTTGCTACTCCCCACCTCTGCAATATCCCCTTTCCCAGGGGCAGCTTCTCTCCTTCCTTCTGCTTTGTCCCCACTTTTACAAGTGTCTGGCTAAAAACACCACGATTTTCCCTGACTTCTTCCTTTCTGATCTCACACAGGAATCAGTGAACATGCCCTGCCAGTTGTGGAGCAATCCCAGTCATGCCACCATTCCTTTTCCTTCTCCCATCTCCAGGTCTCACAACATTAGCCTGGGGCTCCCCTCCATTTACACACATCAGTTCTTCCTAACATACTGCTTTACAAATCCCCTACAGCCCTAACTGGGCAGTGATTGCCTACCCTGAAGAGAAAGTCTAAATGCCTTGGTGAGGCACAAAGGGCCCATCTTCCTACTTGATCTCCACTGCTCACTCTTGCAGGACAGGGCCTACCAATTTCCACAATTGGATAAAAAAGTAAGAGAAGAAAAGGACGAGAGAAAAGAAACTTACCTAACATATACTGACAGGAAGAAAATGGTATTTACAAAAAAAAAAAAAAAAAAAAAACTGCAATCTGTTAAAGGTAGGCTCAAGTCTAGCAGGAAACTACTAAAATCTGAATAGCATCTCACCCACTAATCTAAATTAATCTTCCCCTCCTTTCAATAGCCTCTCCTAATAGCCCTCAATACCTGGCCAAAAATTCACTTCCTCCTACATACTGCTACCTCCAAGCAGCACTATTTATCTCTCATATTGACACAGCCAAATATTCTTTTGAGTGGCTGTGTGCATGACTGAGACTGTACAAGCCTCTCAGCTGCTCAATAAATAGCTGCTGCATACAAAGAATGGAAGCAGAGTTGCACTAAATGAAAGATAGGCGTTTTTCCACCATGGTATGTCTCCACCACTCTGCCTCATAGTCCCAAATGCAGCTAGAATGGCAGGGGCTCAGCTAAGCAAGGAGAAAAACATACACACAGGATTTTTCTCACTTACATCTGGAACAATAACTGTGAGCTTGGGATTTAAAGCATGATAGACTTTTCCAATGGCGCCCTTATAACACCAGAAAGGGTTGTAATCTTGGGCATATTTTGTGTTGGCATCTCTGGCAGTTGTGAAGATCTTGTACCAGAGCGTGGCATTGCTGTATGTGTCAGGCACACAGTGTGGTGGCTGTCTGCAGGGGAAGAGAGGGGAATACATGTGCTCAGCGGACTAGTCATTCACTCGTGTCGCTCAAGTACCTGGCACAGCACTGAGCATAGTCAAGTACGGAAAGGAGAAACAGGAGACATGCATGATTCTTTGAGATCAAAACCACTATGCTTTTAGTTCAGGGATCTTTCTTCTCTAATAAAAAACATATAACAGAATAAGAACCAGAGGCCTACGAACTTCCACTTATATTTAGTTTAACTGTTAGATTTTTACCTTCAAAATTCAATCCATAGTCCTCACATGATGTGGCCAAAAAAGGACCTGCTCCTTTCAAGTCTTTCTCAATTATCTAACTTTTAGTCACAACTGGAAGTTTAACATACAAACTTCTCAGATAGTATGTAACAGTAAATTATTTTTAACTTATTTGATCTTGTCCTACAAACCTCCAAATGTCTAATAGATAAATCCCAGGATAATTAGTCTTAATTTAAAAAGATTTCCCATAGAATTCCTTTAAATAGGCTACATCTTGTATTTCATCCTATTTATAGATCATTGCCACTTTATGAAAACTTGAAAGGCAAGTGAGAACATTGATGGCCATGCAAAAAAAAAAAGAAAGAAAAAAGTTGCAGGAATATTAACTATTTCATGGAAAATAAGGTTCAATTTATGATCTCAATTTTAAAAATAACTGGATAACAAAGATGAACAATATATCTCTCAGGAACCTTAATTATGCATCATTCTGGTCACAAGATCAGCACTTATTTATCTTTTCTGTGACATGCTTCTTCCACTAAAGGAAAGGCAGACTAAGAACATGCAACCACAGCCAGAAGTTTTTACCACAGTGTTGAAGCACTAACTCTTTGACATTTAAATACAGAATTTCTATCTGTAGAATTCCCAGTTAAAAAATCCTTTAAATAGGTGCAGGTAATGACTAAAGAAATATAATGCAAGTATTCATGAGAACTTGCTGTTGAAGCAGCCCAGTTATACTCATGGTAAATGGAGTCTCTCACACACACCCACTGGGGCACAAAAAACCACTTACACGGTGACGGGGAACACACCAGGGTTGGCTGTGAGAGTCATGCAGGCTGTGAACACCACCTGCTCACAGTGACCATGAAGGGCACAGTCATCTGAGCTCCAAGAAGTAGGCAGGGTAAAAGTAATGTTTATCTCCTCGTGGGCTTCCCTGCCTAGGAAAGAGAAATCATTTTTTTTTTCTTTGTAAATAAAGGCAAGAACTCATATCCTCTAGGATTTGAATGAATACTGAAATTAAACCCACCCAGGAATCATCCATCAGTCCACAGAAGCATGATACCTGCTTTTGTAGGATTTGAGGGAAAATAAATCTGAGAGAGATCACAAGGCCTGCTCACCAGGTTGGGCCACAAATTGGCAAATGGAGATGAGCCACTTTCTGCCAAGCAAAGGCCCAGCAGTGCCCAAGCTGGAAAATGGGGCTAGCTGAGTTATTACCACCACTATTCTAGCATTTGTGCAACGCTTATTATTCTCAAACTATTTATATGTATTATTTCACTTAAAATTTACCATTATCCCACAGTAAACCAAAAAAGGATTAACTGTTTCCCCTTTTAGATCACAATCAGACTAAGGATCAATGGGACTAACAAACAGAAAGGTCACAGAACTAGTAAGTGATAGTTTAATGAAAACCAAGGTGTTCTAATACCACAGCACAAAGAAAAGGTCCACTTGCTACATAAAAAACACAGAAGTCACCTTTACCTTATTACATGGAAACAACTCTCACTGGTAACAGCCTACTAGAGGTGAACAGTCATTCCTGTGCTCCTTTAAGGACTTTAAAAGGTTCTTGGTAACCAAAATTCCAATTTATAGGTCCAAGTTTACAGCATAAACACTTTGCTGATTACTCCAGCACCCATTACTTTCAACATTTTCCTGAGTCACTTACAGTCATCATGGGTTTAGCACAAGCTAAAGGACAATGGCTCAATGCTTTATAGGTGTTTATTTTTAATATTATCTAACAAGCATTTATATATAGCATTTCCTTTGTGCCAGAAACTATTATAAATGCTTGATTAACACTAGTTCATGTTATCCTTGCCTCTTCCATAATCCCAAAAATCCAAAGAAAGAGACCAATCTTTGGCTTTTTCTGTTTCTTTCCAATAGCTAGCACAATACTGAGCTAACAATGACATTAAAAAATTGTTAACTAATAGCAATACTTGCAATATGAATTGAAAACACTGACAAAATAAACCTGAAAAAATTTGTTGTGTCTGTAAATATTAAGATCAGAAAAAGGCCCCAATTTTTCACCCTTATAGGTTTTTACTGAGAGCCTACCATAAGCCACACATGTTATTAAGTGAAAATGTCAAAATGGCTCCTTCTTAATTTCAGTTACTTCAACTCAAAAGGGGAGACACATGCAAAAAGAGTCTGATAAGTAAAATGTACATTGCTAACATTGTTTTGAAATATCTGTTGCCTGAGAAAGTCTGAAAGGAAACTAATAGTCACATACCTGAAAGTCCAATCTGATGCCCTAAAATGGTTGAGTACAAATGAGTAACATTGCGAGAGTACCCTCCAAAAGGTTTAAGTGGGTCCAGAGTTAGGGTGATTGCAACTGAGATGTTAACTGGGCCTGAATCCTCCAGGGCCTGTGGGGATTGGGTGGATGCTCTAGACTGCCCGCTGGTCATTGTGCTCTCCGGAGCTGTGGTGTCATTTGTGAGATGCTTTAATGTTTCATTCTCTGATACACAAAAGTCCAAATCATTAAAACGCAGCAGAAAAGTATTCCAATCCTTCAGTAAAATGAAAGAGAGAGAAACAAGTGTGAGGAACCCAGAAGTGCAGCCATTGCAGGAATACAGCCCTGACCTGCAGTGTGGCATCACACTGTTCATAGGAAATGACACTTCTATCATTTAAAATTAAAATGAGAATACCACTAGAGCTGGCATAACATGAAATTTTCCAAACCTTGTTCACATTCATAATTTAGAATATGAATTCTTCGTTGGCATGAGATATTGAACTGTGAGGTTATACCAACTTATTCACATGCAAAAAAAAATCCCAGCATATTAACCTTAAAGAAAATGATCAAGGGCCTCCCTGGTGGCGCAGCAGTTGAGCGCTAGGTTGCGAAGCTGCCCACGGCCTCTGCAGAGCCAGTTCGATCCCGAGCTGCTCCCCGGCCACCAGAGGAGGGTCCCACATGGCACGCAGACCTCTCCTGCCGCCCGCTGCTCCCCTCAGCATTGTACTTCAGTTTGCCTGCTCTGCTCCCCGCTCTGGCTCTGGTGAATTCTCTCACCCTCCCGTGCTTCTGACTGTACCCAGTGCTTGTATAAATAAATAAAAATAAATCTTAAAAAAAAAAAAGTCTTTTAAAAAAAAAAATGATCAAGCTTCAAAATCAAATCTGAAAACAAAGCTTTTATAAAAACAACAAAACATTAGAATTAATCCATACTCATTTACCAATTACAATCAGTTTTTTTTTTTTTTTTAAATAACGCTGTCAAAGTAATTCTTCAACAGGTCAATTACGTATCAATTACGTACACTTTGCCTTCTAAAGCTCTAGCATGGAAACCACAGTAAATGCCAATACTCATGAGGCACTTTTTCTCCATCATAGACGTCAGATGCTACTTTAGAACATGAATAATTTCAAAGGGGAGGGGAAAAGATGTTTTTGGACTTCTCTTAATGCCCACACTTTGTACTGATGGTTCAAATCATAAGCTGGTTTGAAAAATATACACAGCTGATTATATTCATGGTTAAACTGACATAAAGTACCCACATAAGCCAATTTTAATTTTTTGCAGAAACCCAAAGATAACTCATGCTGAAATAGCAAAAGACCTAACCTAGACTGTTACACACATATTGCTTTCTCCCAAGCAACATTCATCTACAAAAAAAAAAATATCACCAAATGCAAAGACAACCCAAGTTATACCTCAGATACTTTAACCCAATGTTAATTTAAAATGCCATTTGAGCAATTCCCAAGCAATAAAGAAAGTCTACCTTTATAGCATCAGTTTAACTGTATATTATATTAGCATTTAGTTAAACTGATGCTATAAAGGTAGACTTTCTTTATTGCTGAATTTAGATATATTAGGACTGAAATTAGATATATTCAATTATATTTTCCCTAACACCTACAAACTCAGTAGGCCACTCAAGAACAAAACAGCTGAAAAGGAAATCCTAACTTCATTCCTATCAGTCCTAGTCCTAACATGAGGAAACTGAAATCACAGAGAAATTAGGAACTCTCCAATTTCACAGTTGTAGGCAGAACTGAGATTAAATTTTCTGATTCCAGCCTAAAACTTTTCCCATGTAACACTGCCTTTATACAACCTAGGATCCTCACTTGAAAACACAATCACTAAGCTAATCATAACCAAAGTCCTGCAGCATCTTGCCACTGCTTTCCCACAGAGCTTTAGTCCACTTTGAGTAGTCAGTTAAATAGTAGGCCTCATTTTGATTATTAGGGCTAATTATTGAGCTCACTGTCTTTGGCCAAGTGTTGAACAAGGAATGGAGCTGTGAGGAAAAGCAATGCCAAAATGCTGCATAGCTTTGGTAGTGACTAGAATGTTCATTTTTAGCTCTAATGTGTACTGCAGCCCATTGGCATAACTTTGAAAGATTCAGGCAGGGTCAGAAAAGACAGAGACTCAAGCCAGCAAGTATGTTTTTTGATAAGAAACTCTTTGAGGGCCTCCCCTAGTGGCGCAGCGGTTGAGCGCTGGGCTGTGAAGCTGCCTGCAGCCTCTGCAGCGCCAGTTTGATCCCCGGCTGCTCCCCGGCCACCTGAGGGAGGGTCCCACATGGCGCGCAGACCTCTCCTGCCGCCCGCTGCTCCCCTCAGCAGTGTGCTTCGGTCCTTCTGCCTGCTCTGCTCCCCGCTCTGGCTCTGGTGAATTCTCTCACCCACCCGCGCTTCTGACTATACCCAGCGCTTGTATAAATAAATAAATAAAATAAAAAATTTAAAAAAAAAAAAAAAGAAAGAAACTCTTTGAAAGAGTTTCATGGTATGAATGCTAAAGTGTTACTTATAACTGTGTTAGAGACACTTCATGTGTGAAGGCCAAACCTCCTACTAAAATCATCTATGATCTAGAAGCCACAGAGCACAAGAGAAAGCCTTGACCCCACTATACTGCATAGAACCCTCCTCCCCATCACAAGGCATATATAACATACCAACAACACAATCCCAATCTGGCCCCCACCAATGAACACAGCCAAGAAAGTGTCAGAGAAGACACTCAAGGAGTCTTACAAAGAGAGAAACTGAATATAATCAGCTGTGTATATTGTGTCCGACAGAAACTTCATCCACTAGTAAAAAAAAAATTAATTCACCATATCATTAATTCAACATAATTTCTAACATAAATTTATTACAATAACAATAGTTATTAGTAGGCATATTATTATGCATATTTAAAGGAGAATTATCAATTTTTTATTGCTTTCTGATATACAAAAATACACATCTTTTAAAATCTGCATCAGGACTGTTCAAGTTATTATATGTCTAGATTAAGAATTAAAGAGCAATGCCATTCTTTACATGTTAGCATGAAAATCTAGAAAGCAAGTTCATAGACAACTGACACTTTCTTTGATTAAAAAGGCAAATATATTTGGAAATAAGATCCTGCTTTCGAAATTCTTTAGGATCCTCTCTTATCCAATGAAAAAGCTATAGCCTTTTTTTATAGCTATAGCTAATAAAATTCCATGATGATATTTAGTTTTAAAATAACAAATATTTACAGTTCTACCCGATAAGACATCAGTGTAAAAAAATAGTAACAGTACAAAACACAACAAAGCAAAAACGGACAATTATAAATCAGAGACATCCTGCAGGGGAGGAGGAGGGAGAGGAATCAGAGGGAGGGAGGAGCACAGGGGACTGAGGTGATGGTGTATGGGTGCAATAGTGAAGGAAACTCTATGGGACTACACCTGAGGGGGTGGGAGGAAGCAAATATTGTTTAAAAATGAACAATGACGTAAAAAATTAAAAAAATATTTAAAAAATTTAAAAAACATTTAGTGTTCTAAAAGATTGCAATGAGCTAACAACACGAATATCCAAAAAAGACAGTTCTCGAGGTTGACACCAATATTTTACAAAAAGACATTTCCTTGCTGAAATAGTCTAACTGAAACTGGTAGCATTATTTTAATCAATAACTATCTGACTAAATATTTCCTAGAATCAAAACAAATGACAGAAGGAAGACAAAAGTTTCTGATATCAATCTCCCTCAGAGTTAAAAAAAAAAAAAGTCACAATGTGCGTGTGGAGAGGCCACTCTGTAAGGTCAGCCTGCAAAGAGAACTTGGAATATACTGTACCTCCGTCATTTCTGGTGACTTAATCTCCTTGATTTTGAAGAAATAGCCCAGGGTGAGGAAAGCTATTGCCATGGCGCTTACACTGATCATAAAGACCACCAGGGGAGGCCGACTGCTGATATACAGCTTCAGATTCTCCAGGGGGTTGATGTTGAACATTATTCTCATCAGCTTCACCTGAAAGCAATAAATCAGAGACTCAAGGACTGACTTTCAAAAGGAAACCTAGGATTCTCACTTTTGTCTCCTTTAGTGGCATTGGGACGAGGAGGTTACTCATTATTAAACTTGAGAAATGGCTGATCATAAATCCACCCAAAAACTTAGAAGGGAAAAACTAAACATTATTTCAGAGGAGTAGGACCTTGAAAGACATACATTCTCTGAGTTTGAATCTTCTAATTATTCTACAGTGAACATTTGCTACTTCCATTTTACTTAAAATGTTTAACTAGGTCAGTAATGACACAAATATATGCCAACGTGTACAGAAATAGAGGATGCTCTCATTTCCTATCATTGAAAAGCTGAATTTTATTTATTCAACATTGTCTCTTCACTGCTATATCACTCATGTCCATCCCTAGCACCTGGTAGAGTAGATACTCAGTAAATATTGAATTTTATCTCTCCTGTTTAAAGCCCTCTTTCAGCTTCCCACTAGCCCCGGGATGAGGTCAGTAACCCCATCATCCCATGGGTTTCATGATCCAGAAACCATGCCAAGCTCAATGACTGCATCTTTACCAACTTTTCCTCCCGTTCCTTACTGGACTCCAGACACACCGACCTTGCTACTTTTTAGGATCAGCTTGTCAACTTCTGCAAGAATCTGCAGATCAGTTCAGGTAGAACTGTGATCTTAATATTGTCTTCCTTCCATTTCATGAACCTGAGATGCTTTTCCATTTATCTAGGTCTTCTTTACTTTTATTTATTTCAATAGTGTTTTATAGCTGTCAAGTTTGCACTTTTTTTTCTTTTGCTAAATTTATTCCTAGTATTTTATTCTTCTTGGAATTTTTTTTTAATAAATCCTACCTGAAGGTTTTTAACCTCTGCCAGAATGCTTGTCCCAAAATTTCTACACACTGTTTTTCTCATCCAGGTGTCCACTCACTAGTCGGCTTCCCTGAAAACCACTTCAGTACCCCTCTCTCAGTACCCTGCTTTGCTGCCTTCAATTGTTCAGTGCCAGTCAGTGCACAATTGATTTTCCACTTTTTTGTAATTGTCTGTCACACCTCTTTTGTGAGCTTCATGATTTCCCACATCTATTTATAAGTGAGAGAAGAAAACTGCAGACCATTATCATACTCTCCTTAACTGTATATACTCCTCGACTACTAAGACTGCGGCTTCCTAGCCTCATAAAATTGAATTTGCTCATGCAGCTGTTTTCTAGAATAATGTGTATACATAAGTGTTTCTATTTCTTGGAAACTTGAGAGGCCTTGACCAAGAACCATCTGAAACTGTCAAGTTTTTAATTGGTTTTGTATTTTGGTAGGTTCTCGTAACAACTTACTCGTGTTTTTTAATGACTATATGTCTATGTTTTCTATTTTTATTGAGCCTATTTTGATACTATTCTAGGAAACTGCTCCTTTTATATGATTTTTTAGAATTCTAGCAAAGTATTACTTTATGATGTATTCAATTTTAATTTACTTGTAGTTATATTTTTCATTACAAGTGATTTTGTGTTTTCCATCTTCCCTCAATTGTATTTGTGTTTTCAAAGTATTGGTATTTGGTTTTGTAAATTATATCTAGACAATTTTGTGTATTTCATTTCAGTAATTTCTACATATATTTTTTGTTTTTATTTTTTTTTGGTTTCTCTCAGTTCATATTTTCTGACTTCTTCAGCTAGATTCTTACCTCATATTTTCCAATCCTTCTTTTCTAATGTAAGCATTTAAGACTATAAATTTCATTCAAAATAGTCCTTGAGTTGCATTACTTTCCCTCACAACTACCACCAATTTAATGCATTAGCAAATCCTGTGAATTTCTTTCCAAAATATATCTCAGATCCACCCACTCTGCCCCATCTTCTAATTATGACAGGGGCTGATCACAGTATCCGTCCTGTACATGTCTTTACAGTTCTAAGACCTCTATATCCAATGCCCACTGAATATGCTGCACATGCCCAAAACTCAACTTGCCTACTTCCCTGTCCAATCTACTTTTCTTCCTGTATCCCCATCTCAATCTAGAACGCTATAAAACATCCTAGACTACTTCTGCCTTACCCATCCCTCCTCCAAAGCTAAGCAGGTGCTAAAGATACCATTTTTTAACAACTCTTACTTTTGCCTCATCTTTTCCATGCTTCTCTGCTATCTCCCTTATTCAGGCCCTTGTATCGTCTTTTTTGTAACTATTGCTAACAGTCTCAATTGGATCATCTGGCTCACACTCAAACAACCCATCCTCCATGAATTTAAGTTACCACCCCACAAAAATTAAATTCATGGGTGTAAATGTAACAAAATATGTAGATCCACATGGGGAAGATTAACAAAATTCTCACCAATAAAATCCAAGGACTATATGAATGGAGACACATTCCACTTTCATGGATAGAAAAACTCAATATATGTTGAGATGTCAGTTCTTTCCAACTTGACCTACAGATTCAATGCAATCCCAATGAAAATCCTGGTGTTATTTTGTGGATATCAATAAAGCTGTTCTAAAGTTCATATAGAGACATAAAAGAGCCAGGATACTAATGAAGAACAAAGATGGGAGAGTTGACTCTACCTGACATCAAGACTTAGTATAAAGACATAGAAATCAAGGCAGTGTAGGTTGTGGAGAAAAGGTTGGCGACAAAACAAATCAATGAAACAGAAAGAGACCCACATAAATATAGTCAACAGATCTTTGACAAGGAGCAAGGCAGTGAAGCAAAGACAAGTATTCTCAATAATTAGTGCTGGAATGACATACACACATACACACACACACACACACACAAAATAATAAATGAAGACACAGGCTGTATACTCTTGAGAAAAATGGATGCACAATGAATCGTAGAATTTATGCAAAATGCAAAACTATAAAACTCCTAGAAGATAACACAGGAGAAAACTTATGTGACAAGCCTTGAGTTTGATGATAACTTTTCAGATACCAAAGGTACCATCTATCAAAGAAAGAACTGATCACCTGGACTTCATTAAAATTAAGAATTTCTGTTCTATAGAAGACACTGTTAAGAGTATGAAAAGAAAAGGACAGACTGGGAGAAAATATTTGCAAAAGATATCGCTGATAAAGGACTATTATCCAAAATATACAAGGATATAATATGGGTATTATATCCCAACACACGTATTAGAATAGCCAAAACCCAAAACACCAAACACTGGCAGGATGTGAGGCAACAAGAACTCTCATTGATGGTAGGAATGCAAAAGGGTAGTACCCTGGTGGTTTCTTATAAAATTAAACATGCTCTTATTGTATGATCCAGCAACTGTGCACCTTTGTACTTGTCCAAAAGAGCTGAAAATTTATGTCCACAAAAAAACCTGCACATGGATGTTTATAACTCAGCACTAAAAAGAAAGAGCTATCAAGTCATGAAAATGTATGAGGAAACCCTGAAGCTAAAAAAGCCAACATGAAAAGGCTATCTACTGTATGATTCTAGAAAAGGCAAAATCATGGAAACAGTAAAAAAAGATCATTGGTTGTGAAAGGTTGCGGGGTGGGGAGGGATGAACAAGCAAACTACAGAGGACTTTAGATCACTGAAAACATGCTGTATGCTGCCACAGTAGTAGACACATGTCATCATACACGTGCCTGAACCCCTAGAATACATAAAACCAAGAGAGAACCCTAATGTAAACTATTGTCTTTGGTTGATCATGATGTGCTATGTAAGTTCATCAATTACAACAAATGTACTATTCTGGTGAGGGATGTTGACAATAGGAAGGCTGTGCATGAGTGGGAGCATGGATAACTGTTACATGGGAATCTCTGCCTTACTCTCAATTTTGCTATGACCCTAAAACAACTTTTTTTTTTTTTAAAGATTTATTTATTTATACATGCACTGGGTACAGTCAGAAGTACGGGAGGGTAAGAGGATTCACCAGAGACAGAGCAGGGAGCAGAACAGGCAGAAGGACCGAAGTACACTGCTGAGGGGAGCAGCAGGCAGCAGGAGAAGTCTGTGGGCCATGTGGGCCCCTCACCAGGGGCCGGGGATTGAACAGGCGTTGCAGAGGCTTCGAGCAGCTTCGCAGCCCAGTGCTCAACCGCTGCGCCACCAGGGGAGGCCCCTAAAACAACTCTTTTTTAAAAATCTTTAAAAAAAAAAAAAAGCAGAAAAATCTAGAAATGACTCTACCTAGGTCAAATTCATAGAATTCAGGAACCAAAATGTGAACAGTAAATAAAGAGTTTCACAATTAAGACAGAATAAAACTTGAGTTGTATATAAAAAGGAACCATTCACTACCTGGAGCTACAATTAGAAAATAGAAAAATCTGAATTAAAATTCATTTCTAGAGAAAAATCAAGTCATTAACAACATGTCACATCAGAATTTAAAACAGGAGAGGTCTGCCTGTGTGTGACCTCATACACCTGTATGTAAGTGTGTATCTACATATGTCAACAAAAATATACACAAGTTAGCAAACAATGTCAACAAAAACCAATTTAATTAGAGAAACTTCCAAAGGAAAATAACTGCACGGCTGATGAGATTACACATATCATTCTTGTTGTTCATTTCTATCATGAATATGTATTTCCTTTCTAATAATCTATAACAATAAAATTTATAAATAGATTCCTCCATTGATCCTGCTGACTCAGTGTTCAAAATTAAACTTCATTATTTTTTAATTGCATCCATTTTCTTCATTAATAAAGGCAATAGGAAAAAAACTTACGAATGATTTCTTAAACCAACTCAGTTCTTAAACCAACCCAGGAAAAAAAAAAAAATAGAAAACAGGACAGTGCCCTAATATGGCATGGGGCTAAAGAAAGACAGAACTTAACTAGCAGTGATCCGTACTCTGAAGAGAAGTGCTAGAAACCAAGAACACTTAGACCTGCTTCCTCCAGACAACTAAGCTGTGCATGCTGCTTAGGCAGGCAGTGCACACAGACTCTCCAGACAAGTGTGGGCTCC